ACATCCTCCAACCTGTTTGCATGAGATTCAGTTGAATTTTTGCAACTCATCGTTTTGGTCTTCCATACAGCCACAGTCTAAGAGGCTCACCCTTAAAAATCTATACATTTCATGCTTCTCCCATGAGTCACAAATTCAGCCATTGTGGCCTTGATTTAAATACCCCAACAACAAACACTAGGTTAGTTGAATAAATCGTATAGTCCCTCCTTAAATATGATTTCCACCATTTTCCATTGTTTCTTAGGACCAGAAATCTTTTTGGATGCTATAGTGAAGCAACTGCAATTGGTGTTTTCTCAGACTAAAAATCTGTGCAGTTTTTTTTTTGTTTCATTCTGTATTGTTGTCATCGTCATACCTTTGCACTATGGTTGTATTGACATATACTTGGCACGTGGATAACTAGCTGCTGTTAGCCGTTAACTATTATTAATTAGCTGTTAACTATAGTACTTAGTTGTAATTAGCTAATTATGAGTAATTAGCAATTCTCTTAGAACTGTCCTAAAGTTCAGATGGAGTATAACAGTATTAGTGGGAAACTGATAATTAATTTATAATAGAACACCCAGTACCATAATAATCTTCAGAACAAAAGGTCTTGTACTCGGGTGGAAACAGGATACCTATCTTAAGAGTCATCCTACTTTACACTCAAGGCACCCACATCTTATCATGGAAGGTTCAGGTTTAGTTCCAGGCAGACCATGTGGGATTAGTGGTAAACATTGGGGCACTAGGGAAGGTTTCTTTCTTCAAGTACTCTGGTTTTGCCCAGTCACTCATCATTCCATTATATCTCGCATACAGTTTGCACTACTCTAAATTGTGCAGCAAACCTGACCAGTTGGGTAAACATTTCACTTCATTCCTTGGTTGTCATATTCTTGTGAACATGGTAATGAACCTTTGAGTTCTGTAAAATGCCGGGAATTTCTTGAGTGGCTGAAGGACTTTTAGTTTCTCAAGAAAGAAACTCTGTTCCATGGAGTTTTGTCCTCAATTGAGTCTTCTTCTCTGGCCCAGCACTTAGCCAGACTCATAGCAAGAAAGTATGATCTTGTAAAGCAACGGAGTGTATTGTAATATTTATCTTCTTTTGGAACGATTCTTATCTCACTGCCACTAGCTGCTTAAGATCTTGCTGTCAGCTTGTTTTTGTTCATTACTATTTCACTGTAGGGGCGCACAGTAATGTAGTTGGTTGAGGCAGTAGGTTACAAGCCAGAAGGTTGCAGTAAGATTATAAGATGAAGCTCTTGTTTAAGTAATTTTCTCCATTCTTCATTTTATCTTTCATTGGTACAGATATCCTTCTCATCACTTTGTTCTCATGTGTTCTCATTCTCTGTTCTTCCCCCAGACTGAGAGATCAAATTTTGCACCCATATGAAATAACAGGTGAAATTTAGTGAAATGTTTTGTTATATATATTAACTTATATTTTTGGAAGTTAGGTGAGATGAATAATAGTGTTCAGGCTATGCTACAGACTTTGTGATAATGTTATTGTGGTGTGCAGCAGAGTGTAGGTCATGGCGTGGTGGCTGGCTTGTGCCAGCGGCTTGCTTCCTGTTGCTGGCTCTGTTACTAGTGATGCTGCATGGTTCTCCCACTTCCACTCTGCACCACTGCTTGTTTTCCCCGCCGCAGCTTGTGGTAGCAGCAACCATCGACCGTGGTAACAGCCCTGACCAGCAGTAAGCAGATCAGTGTGTGATGTTCAGTTCCAGGTAGTGATGGGCTGAACAATGCCATCACACTATGATGCTGTCTCTAATAGTAATTTGAGATCCTGTGGAAAAAACTCAGGCTAGGGGTTTTATGTTTGGTCAGACAATGGATCCTTGGTATGTTCTATAAATATCATATCCTATAGTTCCCAGAAATGAGTCCATCTTGTGGCAATCTGTGTTATGCCATAATGTATCATAATGAATTGTATTGTGTTTATATAGTATACGATTACAATTTTATGTATGTTGCACTATGTGTTTAATTTGTTTTGCTCCGTTGTCTGGTACATAGTATAATTTGGAATGACATTGGAATATCAGTGAGCTGCAGATTTATTTTGATACCTTTACAAATTAGTGGTGTATAATATTGTACTAGTTGCATATAAATGCAACTGGTGAAAGTTTGTATGAACCAGAACGCATAGTGGAAAGTTAATAAAATTGCACTTGGTGCTGTTAGGTTTCTGGATTACATCCTATCATCTAATGTTCTGGGGTAAGGGTAAGAAGGTCCAGACAGCTGTTTCTCTTATAAACCTATCCTGTTTCTTTAAGGAATCAAAGTAGGCTAAAATTGGTTAAGTCAAGTGGATTGCCTTTATTCATATTTTAAATCTGACCACCATCATCTTTTGAGCTGGTGACTTTTAAAGTTCATTATTTCAACATCTTTTTGCTTTTAAATTTATTCTTGTAATAATAATAATCACCAGTCATGTACAGTCTGTATGTCTATCCCACTCTATTTTTCCCAAATTGCATGCCGTAGAAAAATTGGTAAAGACAGAAGATACTCCTCTGGGAGAGGCAACCATAGGAAATTTGTTAATTTTGCTATTGAATGCATGGGTTCAAGTCCAGGCCAGATTATTTCTCCATTACTTCCTTTGTCAGTAAAGTATTGGGATCATGATGACAGTGAGAATGTAGACTTTATATTTTATAGGAACCATGGTAACACGATGTGTGTACACTGGATTATGATGTGCTGTATAACAGAAGTAGTTTTTGTAATTGCAGTACAGACGTTTCTGCATGGTAGCTCTAATTTAATATAATATGATGTGAAATAAACTGTGTAATCAGCAAAACTTCTATCCATGTTGTTATTATAATTCAATGATTGGAGAGATAACCTGCTGTCAGGTTCATGATGTGCATTTGAGCAAGGTGCTGTCCATCAGCATTGCTCTGGCACAGAAGTTGAGAGAGTGGGGGAAGGTTTGTAATGGCGTGTTTCTGCTTTAGGTAGGAACAGGTGGGAACCCTGGGCCTGTGTGGCATATGTGACAGACTAGTAGTACAGGTAATCTCCTCTCATTAGTCCTCTGCGTAGTCTGTCATTTGCTTGTCTATGACAGTGTCGGTGTTATTGTTTCAAAAATTTTAAGTTGTCCATTATAACTGTTCTTATGATCAGATACTTCTCTTCTTTCCGAGGTACATTATATCCTTCACAATGATATATATATATATATTGTTCGTCTTTTCTTTACGGATTAAGGAGCAAATGCCTTCATCACATCAGTCTCCTCTTTCCAGTTCTTCTTTGGTCTTCCTAATACTCTTTGCCCTGCGGATTTGAAATTCTCTGCTGTCCTAGCCTTAGTTTATTTGTGTGTTCTGTACACATGATCTTTTTGCTCTTTTTGTGTACATCATAAACATTTGAATTATTTTATGGCTTTAAGTTTCTCACATATTTCAGTACTCTTTCTAGTTGTGTAATCATATAGGTATAATATAATACTTTACCATACACTTTTCTGTTTTCATAATTTTATGTTACTGTGTTGTACTTGTTACATACATACCAAGGGTCCATTTTATCAGGCCACAGAATCAGTAGTTCAGGATATTCCATAAAAATCAGATCAATTTGTGTAATATTTCATCATTACAGAATCTTTCATTTGTAAGTCTAAAGATTCTGGCACAGTGGGGCTGCAAGAGCATTCTCTAAATCATAGCCCAGAGTGCCCTGTGTACAAACAGAAGTAATGGCTAACATTGCTGGAAGTTCAGCCTGTCTGTCAACAGCTCCACTCAGTTTGTTCTGCCTGTCACTACTTTAGCCTGCTGGGGTTGAAAGTTCCATCTTCACAGGTTCATTAATATGAAGCTTTTAATGTAGATTAATATACTTTGCAGACATTAGCAACTTGTTTTCTTTAAGCTTTATGACAGAGACTGAGTCATCTGAAGTAATACAAATAATGGCAGCGTGAATGCTTAACTTAAAGAGTCTGTTTAAATGTAGTTAAATGATTGATTCTACCTTTTCTAAGTGCCTGATTTCAGTGTCATGCATGTTGCACATTGTTATGTAAAATTACTTCTTTGTTATGATTTGTTTTGAATAAAGCTTGTGAGTTGATGAAAGCATGCTGATTCATCAGTCTTATTATACCTCAGAGTATCCATCTTCATTTTAAAAGTTTGATAATGAAATTAACATGAAATAAATTTCAGATCAATAATTAAATTAAGCAAGATTATTAAATGCATTCTGTGTTCTCTAATTGTATAGCAATATTAATAGAGGAAATTACTGAACCAAAAGAAGTAGAAATCAGGGCTCCTGAAACATGTTGTTGCTGAGATGCAACTTGAATGGTTTTTGCAGCTAACATGCTTCTGTGTAATGTGTTATTGACTGATAATCATAGAAGCTCGCAGAAACTGAAAGTGGTAGAGTTGTTATTTAGATTCACAGCTGCTTGCTGATGTAACAAGATAATTCATGCTGCAAAATGAAACTGAAGTAGCATTTTTTGCTCATAAATACCTCCCCTTTCTGTTACTGCCTCTTATGTATATTTAAAACTTGGTATGTTTATACCTTAGAGACAGAAAGTTTCGCAATTCTTGCTCATACAAACTTATTTTACTTGCTTTTTATCAAGGAATGCATCCTGTTAATATTGCCACACAATTGTGGAACATTTCTATATATCATTTAATAGGGTATAGCATGAATATTGCATTGAAATTTATTTATCTAATATTTCCTTGTAACAAAATGATATAATTCCTTCTGATGTCTATGTAGTTTGTTTTTAACATTCTCATTTCTTCTTTCATAAAAAAACAAGGAATATGTTACTTTCAAACACAGGAGTGTATATAAATTATTAACATAAACATTTATGCCACTTTTTCTTGGAATCATAAGAGTTGGGAGCATGTGGTTGTTTTAACTCCTGGAATTGTGATGATGTCTGTGGCTGTATTCACAGTACTTAAATCTACTTTCAGGAGCTGAATACTTCCAGGGCAATGAAGATCCTATTTTTACAGAGACAGTATCCACAGAATATGACCCAAACACTCAACAGAGGTGAGCGTCAACTTTTATACCGAAAATGTGTTTCTGTCACATTGAAGTTAGACCTAGTACAGGTATCCTATATATCCATTTCCTGAGATAGGACCTCAGACCTCAGACCACTCTGATCCACAGGTAGTTTGCTTAATCATTCAGAATATGATACCATATCTTTTTCATTGCTTTTGCAGAAATAGCTTGTGAGTATGAGAGTTAATTGACTTGTCTCATTGAGAGTGAGTACGTTAAATCTTACTTTACAATTTCAAGTTACACAAATTTTTTACTATATGAAATAGATTACACATTTTCATTTTCTCCACAGGGTCATAACCACAACACGTACGGTTGCCATGTCAACAAGTGGAGCTGACGGCACTGATGGTTTGCGACAGTCAATGCAGGAGATCGTTGACAAGTTCATGACAGAGGAACGCCAGCACCCTTAGTTTAAGCATTGTTTGGGTCTGTAATTCTTTATGTTCCTTCCCATCCACCTGATGTATTTTTGTAATGGAAGCTATGGGGACTTGTATGTACTAGCTTGAAGACATCCTCAGGGTATACTTGCGATATCCAGATCAGATGTCATTATTTTCAAAGCTTCAGACTATTGTATTTTGTGTGATTCAGAGCCAGGTATTTGGTTATGTTTGACATGTTTCCTTTGAATGAAGATAAGTTCTGGTTATTCATAGATCAATGTATAAAATTTTCAATAGCTTTCTTTATGTAGCTCGTTTTTACGGAAGTTAATAAGAAGGAATTCACAAAAGAAGGTGCTGATGGCATAATACAGAGAGGTAGAATAGTACATTAGTAGCATTTACTGTCGCAGGTCTGTATTTTTGTTATTTAAAAGACCAAGGGGGCCGTCCTCAAACAGAAAAAAAATCTTTTGCATATTTCATGATGCACCCAGGAAGTGACAGATGTTCATGTGACTGGGTTTAAGAAACAGTTGACTGCCATGATAACTTTAATTCCATAGATAGAGGGGCCATTTCTGTCAATAAATAGTTCAAGAGTTGAGTTTTTGATAATTTCCATGAGTAGCCTTACTCTTAGTGCCTGAAATGTTAAAGAAATATTTTGCCATTTCTATTTTCTTTGTGGTTTGACTTCTATACTGTCTAGTATGTCAGTAATGCCTAGAGTGAAAACAGAACTATTTACTGTCATGCATGAAAAATCTTTATTTATATATAATACAGAGACAAAAATGTTATAAATATATATATATATTAATATATAGTTTCAAAGAAGTCATATTATTTAATTTAAACATGGAAATACTATAACTTGTTTCAGATTACATATTTTGTGGACTAAAGCTAATTCTTGAAACAATAAAAAATAGCATTTAAATTTATAGTTAGGGATGAAACAGTTACATGTAAAGTAAATTAAATACACAGCTTTTACTACCTAACCTAGAACAGTAGTACACTGGGCATAGAGGGCTGTCTGTATTCATGGAGTGCTGAACTGTTGACACAATTACTGCACAATGTATTCCATTTCTTTTATGTATCAATTTTATTGTTTTTGCATCAGTCCTTTTATCACTATAAGTAAATACTGTGAACTGTTTCTGATATGGTACAAGGAAGGTGAAATATAATGATAGCATTCCTGTCTATAAACTTTAATAAATCTAATTATAAAAACCTCATTGAACCATTACTTAAAACTGAATATGCACATAATTCATATTTTGAATTGCTACTGAAATTAATATTCTTTTATTGTTATTTGAAATTTGGTGTTGAAAGAAAGAATCTGTCAATAATCAGTTCTCTTTGCACAAAAGAATTTGAAATCAAGTACAGAACTGAACGTGGTGAATGCAAGAAGCACATAGAAATATATGGGTTTTGTCCAGTGTGCTGGATACAAAGGAGAGTAAAGAAAAAAAAGCAAGTAAAGGTATTGCTTTAACGGGCCGTGGAGACCCATAGGGTTGTGAGATGTTTAGGCTTGCAGATGGCGTAGAGGTTGTCAGCCTTATGTGCCGGCCGTCCTTTACCCCCAGGAATATTCCTGGTACTCATTTCTGTTAAAGGCTGTGTTGACCCCAGGGCCAAAGTGAGGCTGGAAGGATTAGGTAAATTGAAAAAATCCACCTCATCAGGATTCGATTCCACGACCTTTCGGCTTGTAGCATAGTGCCTCAAGCAACTGCGCTACCGCATGCCCCCAAATACGTGTACAAAGGAGAGGGAAAGTAAAATTGAAGGATATTATTCTTTGAGATTTGACACCAAGTAGTGTGGCAGAAGTTTAATGATGCCTTGTAGGAACACGTTGCCTCCATTTTCTCTGCTGAAGCTGGAATCACATCATACAGAAGAAGGTAGTCTTCATAGTCACTGCCATGGGAACCGCAGATCTCATAATAGAAGATTGTTTTTTTTACATGGATATTGGGTGAACCATGATCCTTCTTGTCCTCCTCCTCTGCTTATTCTTTTGTTTTGTGTGCATGCATGTGCCTGCGTGCGCGTGAGTGCATGAGTGATAGATTTGGGCTTTCCAGTTGCGTGCAAGATCAGCAGTGGGGCATAGGACTTCTTCAGCTTGTCAGGGACAAATCATTTTCACCTAAGATGAACCTTCTGTGATGTTGAGTCCATGTAATTTGGTAGGAAAGTACCAAATTATATGTTGTCACGTCACAGAAGGCTGCACATAGTCTTAAGCTTAATTCTGTTTATGTAGCAAGAATATACTTTGTGAGGCTTAGTGGTTGAAAATAAAGAGATTGAATATCAGAGTTTGAGTATTTGCATTATAACATGTTGATTTCCCATTATAGGCTGATTACATTCTATGTGTTGTAGATGAATTATTGTGCTTTTCTTTCATCTTATGGCTGTTTTCCCTTGTCTTCTTTAGGATATAAAGATTTCTTAATGCAGGTAACTTATTCTCATTTTGGCATTTCTTTTATTTGGGGAAGATAAGGTTTTGCTGCTCAAAAATAGTGGAATATGTTAAATGTTTCATTTTGATTTAATTGTGATCATATTCACCTAATGGAGCATAATTTTATTTTCACACACTGCACATTACAGATCTGAATTAACTGCATTTTTGCAAATGAAGTTGCATTGCAATACAGTTAAACAGTATAGTTAGACAAACTCTACTGAATAAACCTGTCTTCTGGAATATAATGTCATACACTTAGTTGACTGATTATCAATTAGCTGCATAGTGTTACATTCCAGAATCTGGAACACCTCATAACCACTGCTGTTATAATTTCAAATCTTACAAACTCTCTTTTAAGAGCATCAACATCCCACATGCCAAAACCTTCCACAGGACTAATCCTGAGCCAGTTCATTCCAGTTCACATCCTATTTTTTTAAAGATTCATACCTAATCCACTATGAAACAAAGAAATTTGATTGTGATTAGTTGTTATATTGTACTTATGTATCTTCATTTGTGTTTGTAACTAATCATGCCTTTGAGTTGCATCTGGTGGGTCCATTGTAGGCATGTTTATTTAACATGTACTCAGTTGTCCAAGATTTTTAACATGTTCTGTACTTAGTGTAGAAAGTGGAGCTCCACAGGTTCTACTCGTATGTCCAAAATCAGTAAACAGGTTTTCAACGAAAGTTCTTAACTTGAATTGACACACAAATTTCACTGAAGAATGAAAGTGTAACATAATTCACTATTTTAATGGAGAAATAAAGGAATAGAGCAAAGGTATGAAAGGGATAAAGGAAAGACAAAGAGAAGAGATTAAGAACGAAGATATGAAAGAAATAATTTTCTGTTGAATTTTATGTCACTTTTCTGCTGGTATGATATATATGCAATGAAATTGAAGGTAAAAGTACTTTCCATTCTTCCTTTGTTAGTTATAAGGTATGAAGTTTCATGCCTAGCATTATTTTATATTGCAAGAGTCACTTCTGGTTTGTCAGTTTTTATGGGACTACCGTTTTTAACGGTAAATTTGCTGGAAACTTCTTGAAGTTTGAAGGCCTAATTAAAATTGATAAAAGTGTAACTCTTATATTTTTAAACTCCAAGCTATTTAAGAATGTGTAAGTTTTCTCCATAATTCACTCAGCTTTGGAAGCAATTATAAGCCATCAGTTATGTGGGAAAAAAAAACTCACCGTAAAGAGTCAGGTTTTAATAAAGAACTGCAGTGATCGGTTGATGTTTGTTTATTAATTTTTCTGTAATAGAAGGGGCTTTATCTAGTAAATGTATGTTTGGCTTCAAAGACAAAGTTCTGGCGAATTTAAGAGAAATTAAAGAAAAGGAGTATGGATAGTTATGTAAAGAGGATATTCATAATTTGTACTTTCATCCATTACCCTCTGAATGATCAAATCTGGAAGGATGGCATAGCATAGAGAAACCCCAGAGAAAGAAACCACTTAGAAAATCTTACGCATACATGAAGACCATACAGAAATATGTTGTGGACATGTGAACTGAACTGAAATGTTTCAGGATAGACTCAGTATCTGGCTGTTCTAAATGTAGATTGACTGATTACACACAGAATTTTTACAGTCAGTCTCTTAGAAGTAAACGTGATGTAATTCTTTCTGAACTTAGCAGTTAGAATTGGAGAAGAAAGAAAACAGTCTATTGATTATATTTGTTATATGCATTAGGGTAAAAATATTTCCTGTGTAGGCCTTCTCTTGCCTTTCTTGTAGCTGTCTCCAGTACTTGATTGCAGTCAATATGAGCCTCTTCACAGTCTGCATGCTACAGGATGAATGCACTGAAGTTCCTGCAGCCTGAGCCATATCAGATTCAACCCACCGTGCTTTTGGTTTATGGCTGAATCGTCATAAACAAGAAGGCTTATAGTAATCTGCATGCAAGTGTTCATTTCCTCTTCAATCCCAGTTACAGACAAGGTGCTGTGGGAGAAGGTACACATGGGGAAAACGTAAGTATATACAGATTATGAAGTCTTTGTGTCTCACAATGGACATGGTCAAAAATATTTACAAATTGTATGCATGAGTATACATATCATGCTGCATCAAAACATAAGAAGTAATGAAACTGGATTCATGGTGTCAGAATGTTTTCCGGCTTACACAGATGATTTGTATAAAATTATTTCACAACTTATTTACAAAAATGTGCCACTGAACTATTGTTTTGTTTGTTGCGTGATGTGGTCATTGTTTTGAATCAGTAACTTCACTATGTCAGCTTCAATAACATTTGGATGTGTACTGGCATCATAACGTTTCACTGGTTTACCATTCCGTGACACCAGAAACTTCTCAAAGTTCCAGCGTACATCATTCACTTTGAATGGTGAGTAGAAGAGGCTGTCTTTGCTAGCAAATCCATCCCTTGTAGAGGGGCAGTGTTTCTGGAAGCCAAACAGATGTTGAAAATTCAAAGTATATTATAAACCAACTGAAAGTTTCCTAAGGAAATTTATTTTAATTAAAGATGGGTGAAGCAAGTGGAAATGGTGGATTTCTTAACTATGAACTTCATGATTTATACAGTTCACATAATATCATTAGCACACTCAAATCAAGGAGGTGGCAATGAGCTGGGCCTATAGTTTGGATGGAGAAAACAAGAAATGCAGAATTTTTTATGTGGAACCTCATGGAGGAGGCAGATAATACCAATATGTGTATCAGACAAACAGGAATAATGAAAAATGCATGGGAAACTTAAGATCATGGATATACAGGAAGATGGACTGTGTAGATGCAGGTGAAGATGTGTGACTAAACATAGAGTGGACTTGTAAATATGCAGAGAGAAGAGTAAGGAAGATCAAGGAAATGATGAAAGAATTTTGAGGCCTGTATGGGAATTAAGTAACACTCCCTAAGGAGCTGAATCTTCAAGAAGCCAGCAGTTGCTCAGCCTCTTATGAAATTCCTAGCATTTTATGTTACTGCCACTGGTGCCTATGCTGAGCCAGATGAACCCAGTCCACAACCCTCCATCCTGTTTCTCTAAGAACCATTTTGATATTATGTGCCAATCTACTTCAGATATATACAAAACTGTAATTTTGCCTGTGGTTCTGTATTGGTGTGGAAATTTGTCTCTGACGTTAAGGGAGGAACACAGGCTGAGGGTGTCTGAGAACAGGATGCTGAGGTTTAGACCAAAGAAGAGTGAGGTTGGGGAAAACTGAATAATGAGGAGCTTCATTAACTTGTACTTTTTGCTAAGTATAATTAGGATGATCAAGTTAAGGATTAGGTGGGCAGGGCATATGGCACGAATGGGGGCTAAGAAGAATGTATATAGGATTTTGGTGGGGAAGTCAGAAGGAAAGAGACCTAGATGTAGGTGGGTGGGTAATATAAAAATGGATTTTAGAGAAAAAGAGATCATGCGGTGGTATGGACTTGATTCATCTGGATGAGGCTAAGGACCAGTGGGAAGCTCTTAGCATGGTAATGAGCTTTTGGGTTCCATTAAATGTTGGGAAATTCTTGAGTAACTGCACAACTGGCAGCTTCTTGAGAAGGGTTCAGCTTCATGGGGTTAGTTTCTATATTGTAGTCTTCCTAGAGGTCTCTTTCCTTTAGTGTTCCCTACATAAATGTTGTATGCTCTCCTCTTGTCTCCATTCATGCTACATATCCTGCCCATCCCATCATCCTGACTTAATTATTCTGATATTTGGTGAGGAGTACAAGTTTTGAAACCCCTCATTCAATTTTCCCCAGCCTTGTACTACTTCATTTCATTTATTCACCTTCCATAAATCCTGTCAAGAGTACATTCTCATGCGGATGTGGAGATCGTCCTTGTTACAGTCACAACTAAGGATTACAGTTGTCATCCAGTAGTATGCACATTTGTATAAAATACTGATAAACATATACAATATAATAAATAGGTTAATTTTAGTAGTAAAAGTAATGGCAAACCTTATACAATTTGTACAGTTTTATGCAAGTCTATTAATTAAAATTTCAGTAGTTAAAACATAATGTCATTAATGAGTTTTGTATAACATACATTAATTATATAATAAATTGAAATAAAGACTAGTATACAGTAATATAAAAATTGTGTATATCTAAAATAAGCATCTAAAAACCAGAACACAGACTGATAACCTTGTGTTTTAATTGTAAAGCTAGAAAACTACTCGCACCTTAAAAAGATTTATAACCAAAATATTCCTGTAAAGAATAAAAAGAATGTAAATATAAAAATTGTTTTAATTGTATCTCAAAACTCTTAGTGTCACTCAATATATCCTTAATATATTGTGGTAGATTATTATAGACCTTTGTTCCTAAACAGTAAACTCCCTTTTGGTATTTACTCAAATTTACAAGAGGCTGATGGAGATTATTTTGCTGTCTGGTTCATTTCTCTTTGGCCCAGATAGTCTCTTGAGTACACTGTTCTTAAAAACCCTCACTATATGTTCTTCCTTTAATGTCAGAGATCAAGTTTCACACCCACCAAGAACTACAATCAGAATTATAGTTTTGTATTTTTAAAAAGCAAACGAAAAGACAAAAAGTTTTGAACTGAATGTTGGCAGGCTTTACCTAAACTTAATCTGCTCATAATTTCCTTAGGAATCAAATTTTGATTTGTTACTGTAAGTGCCTATCACATTTTCAAAGAATCTGTTAGCTGTCTTTATGTTGTGATTTTGTCCCCACATTTTGCTGATGAGACATGAACATATACTTATTTTTCTCTGTGTTTACTTCTAGACTAGTTTCCTTGCTAGCATCTATTAGAGCTTTCATCTTTTTCCTTGTCGTATTTGTGTTATTCCCGCCAAAAATTAATATCATCAGCATAGACCAGGAGTTGATGTGTCTCACTCAGCTTCAGTCCTGCCTGGTTCTTTTGGATCTTCACAGTGGCATATTCTAAAGCAGAGTAGAAAAGCAATGGTAATAAAGCATCTCCTTGTTTCAGACCACTTTAAATAGGAGTCATATCTTTACATTATGGTAACAGTGTGAAGGTTCATCTCCACTGAAAAAAAATTCACTACTGGAATGATCATGAGATAGTTTCATCTCCCATCTGCTTCTTGGATTTCCATGTTTAAAAAAATCTATGCATTCCTTGTCTCCCCTAACCTAGACCCAGTCACAAAACCAACTTGCTGTAGTCCCCTAGATTTTGCTGTCTATTAGCTAATTTCTTTTAAACATTCTGAAATTATTCATTACAGATAAGTTATTTTATGACTTTGCTGTTGATTTGGTATCTTGCTATGTTTGTATGTGGATGTGTGTGTATGTGCATGTGGGGGCATGTGCGCACACATTTTTATCTATATGCCTATACTCGTAGGCCACTGTATTTACAACATCCACATTTACTTCTATGGGAACCATAACTCATGACCAAATTCTTCATTTCAAGATTTAATTTGAATAACTGCTTTTTATAAGATCGTAGTGATATCAATACAGACTATATTTAAGTGGTTCTGTATGGTATTATTGTCATAAACTTTTGAAATCATTTACTTTGGTTCCAAATTTTGTGAAAATTGTTTAATTTGGTAAAGAATACCAGCTGCCAGTCACCGGACTGAGTTTGATAAAGAGTGTTTCTTGATAGTTTGACCAAATTTAATGGGTGTATATTCTTGCTTATAATAAGCAACTGTGATTTGGTAAAAGAAAAAAGAGATAGTATGTACCTTGAGGAATGTGTAAAGAGGTTCTTCATTGTCACCATTGACTTCTATCTTCTTGAACAACTTGAAGTTTGGAACAAAACCATTCCCTGGCCGAACGTATTGGATGCCATTGAAGATTTCGGTTGCGTTTGCTCCTGGTTCTTGCTGAAATGAGGTAATTTATAAACCTGAATTACTTGTATGTTCATATGTTCTATAACTTTAGTGAACATTTAGATGTACTTGGTGACTGATTTTTGCACATTTCTTAGCACTATGACAAAAGTAAAGAGTAGAACAACATGCTATGGTATTCTGCTCTGTTGATAATAGCAAATGAGCCACAATGATGATGGAGGAGGAGGAAGTGTTTCTGCATTTAATTAAGTATTATGTCTTTTAAGATGTCTCAGTGGGAACCTACAGCTTCACCCACTGGCCATTTGACTACAGGGAAAAGAGCCCCTGGTACCTATTGGATAAGGAGCTAGGTGGTCCCTGAGCCAGTGGGAATCAAACTCCAATTCCTTAGTCATCCAGCATGTGATGTAGTTGCTATATTGACTGGGATACCCTGACTCCATTAACAATAGCAATGACAACAGTAATAATAGCATTTGTTACTGGTGTGCATCGTTAGCATTGTTATTTCAACATGCACATATTTTCAGAAGTAGAGGGATGTTCCGTATTTTATTTTACGTTAGGATGAATTTTGCACACATTTTCAAACATTATGAATTGATCCTTTTCCTCGATGATGTGATCTTCTTTCAACAATTACTCGTGCAGATAGGTTGCTTGTTACAAAACTCAGATGGTCAATATTATGATAATGGCAACTGCCTGTTGTGTCCTATCCTAAGCCAATTTAACCCAGTTCACATCTCATTTCCTCTTATAATGTATTTTAATGTTTTATATATATACATATAAGTCTCCCAGATTATCTGTTAATGTATCTAGCCAAAATTTATATGTACATCACGCTTCTGCCCACATCCATTTCATGTTTTTGATGTGTATGGAATAACTCAAGAACGATGGGATGATTTTCTTTAAATTTTATATTCAGGAGTTTTACTAAGTGTATTATTTTGTTCTGCAAAAAATCTTAACACTTTCTTAGATAATTAAACAAAAGGGAGCAAATGCCACAGAATTAAGTGTACTAAACATACATTTCCTGTTGCTTAATTGGAGGTATGAAGGGTACAAATTGTGAAACCCTTTTTCATATTGTTTTCTCCATTCCCTTGTTAGTTCCCCTCTCCTGTTTCATTGGCACATTACTCTGAGACATCTTAGGAGGAGAAGCCAGATGAAGTTGTGTACGAGGTGGTATCAGAAAATTCCCGGATTATTATTGTTGCAACTGCCTCGGTGAAAGAAGATGAGAGGGGAGGCCAAGGTCACACTTTCAGACACACATTGCATCAGTCTGCCACATGACACCGCTCTGTGAACATGCATTCTTTTTACATGAGTGCTTTTTCATCTTCGTGTTTAATTTTGTCTGTGATGGATGGCAACATTGAGCAATGTGTCTGCATCAAGTTTTATGTGAAACTAGGCAAGTCCATGACTGAAACCCTTGAAATGCTTCATGACTCTTATGGAGAGGATTCTTTAAGCTGGACAGCTGTCTTTTAATGGCACTCACGTTTCAAGGCTGGTCAAGTGTTGGTTGAACATGATGAACGTTCAGGGTGACCAAGCACCAACAAAATGACAGAAAAAAAAATTGATAACTCATTCATGAAGATAGTCGCCAAACAATCCATGAGCTTGCAGACACCGTTGGGATCAGTAACAGTTTGCCAGATCTCAACGGAAAATTTTAACATGCGCCACATTGCTCCATCATGACAGTGCACCCACCCACATGTCCCTGAAAACCACAGAGTTTTTGACTAACAACAACATGGTTATCAGTCCCCATCATCCCTACTTGCCAGACTTAGTCTCCTGTGGTTTTGCTTTGTTTCCCAAATTGGAATTGAAACTGAAAGGATGATATTTTGAAACAGTGTCTGACATCCAGAGGGAATTGCAAGCAACACTTGGAAGCATTAAGGAAATGACTTCTGTGGTGCTTTTTAAGCATGGGAAAAGTGATAGGATCGCTTTATATGTTCCCAAGGAGATATTTTGAAGGAGATGGCAGCCAGAATTGAGTAAGCTAAGTCAGCATTTCTTTTTTGACCTAGTACGGGAACTTTCTGATAGCACCTTGTATGTCTGTCTGTGGCAGTTGCTGACATCAAATGCTTACATTACTATCAGGCAGACTTACCAACCCAAACTGATTGCATGGGAAGCCAAGCACCATAAAGTCCTGGTGGTTTGATTGAAGTGCATTCATACCCAGGTAGTGGTGTGTTAAGGCTCAGTAGGTAGCCACATTGACAATTAGCACCACCTGCACAGTTTTATTTGTTTAGAGTTACCCTGCAATGTTGCACTTTTCTACAGAGTGCCTGAAATGAATACATACAGCTGAGGGTGTGTATCAGTGTGCATGTTGTATCTCTGAAACTAATGAATCAATTTAGTTGTATGGAGAATGTAAAGTTGTAAAGTGAAATTAATTTTAATTCATACTGGTACATTATAACCCCCGTAGTTTCAATTTTATTTTATTGGTTTTGTATAAACAGGCTCATACAAAAAATTAGTTCATACCTCTCATGTGCCATGACATCCATAGTGCACTTTGCTTCCTAACAATAGATTATATATGCAGTAAATGAAAATATTGAAGAACACACTTGGAAGAATGTGTACTGCATAGGATAATATGTTTTTGCTCTTATTTGAAACTCTGGACTGTGTGTGTTTTGTTGTCTATGGTGTCATTTTAATAAGCAGAAGTCTGCTGTAACTGTTTGGTTTCTCATTCCTGTAAAGTTAAAATTGTCCCTATTGTTAAGCAGATATTCTTAAAAAGTACTAGATGGAGATAGCCCACAGCATTAGTTTTGTAGGAGGCTGGTTGGGCTCCAGAGCCAGTCTTGACCATGTGGAGAAGAAAGCTCTCTTGGTCCAGCCAGGAATCTCCAGCACTTCCTCATTTGTCCAGCCCATAGCCCATAGCCTATCATCATGCTAACATATCTTTCCTAGCTATTCACCATTTATAATTCTGTAATGGGGGCATGCGGTAGCATAGTGGTTATGGCCTATGCTACAAGTTGGAAGGACACGGGTTCAAATACCAATTAGGTCATTGGATTTTTTCAATGGCCCTGGGGTCCACTTAACCTCTAACAGAAATGAGTACCAGGAATTAAATAAATAATTTTCCTGGGGAGTAAAGCACGGCTGGCTGTAAGGCTGACAACTTTACCGCCATCTTTGAGCCGATTGTCTAGATAATGTGGGACCCTCAATGTGTCTCAACCCTATGGGCCTTCATGGCCTGTTACAGGGATAGCTTTACTTTACTTTTTTACTTTTTAATTCTGTAATAGTGCAGGAACTTTCCTGGCATGTGAGAGAGAGACAAGAGGACACATTTTTAATTACATACATATTCAGGTAAATAGAATCATTGCTCCCTTACCTTGTCTCTATAGTCAGAAAGGGTGATATTCTGGATCCCCCACAAATCGGGCAGGGTGTAGTTATGGATGCTGTCTTCTATCAAGTCCTCATCATCACATTCTACTGATGGTACTCGTTGCACTTTGCCACGAGACTCATGCAAACTCAGGAGCAGTAAAGTTAAAATACCCCCAAGATACATTACTCCCTCAAGTATGATATAGTCTTTTCCTCTGAAACAGATTTGAATCGTTGAGGGAAGTCATGGCTCATATCATGGTACTGTTTTAATATTTACATAGAATAGTAAGTGAGGGAAACTAAACCAGTTAGGATATTGATCTCCTGCAAGGATTTGAGTCAGTTACACTCTGAATGCAAGCCAGATGCATTACTGAGGTGTTGTGTCACATAATAAGGGTCAAGATTAGTATCAGGTTTCCAACATAGTATGGGAGCAAGTTGTTGTATGCCATATACAAGCATACAAGTATTTGGAATCTAAAGACAGGCTAGTATTGGTTAACACTAAACCAGATGCAGGCAAGCCCTTGGAAAGAAGAAATGACGGTATGCCCCAGACCATTCAGGATGAATAGCCTTAAGGAGGGAGCAATGTAGCATGTAGATCCATTGGTATGCATCGGCCATGAAATGGAATATACCAGGGATGTTTCTGGGCGATGGCTTAGTAAACATATTCCTGTTGCTAGACAGCAGATTCTTAATAATGCAAAACTGGAAGAGCTGTGTTTTATACACGGTCAGTGGCAAGATATTATAATCAAAGGACAAGGTTAGAGCTTAGTCAGTTGATGGTTCAATTCTTTATGTGTCTGTAAAGAGAGCACATGAGCGCATAAAGGTGAAGAATCTACATTGCTAGAAACCGTTGCCAGGGAATGGCTTGTGAAAACACAGCAGGCTGGAATAAGCTTAGCATGTCCTGTGCTGATTCGTGAATTGTGCAGATAGCGGTGGCTCTCTAATTACTTGTACTTACGTGTCGTGTGTATCAGTTGTCAATAAATCCAATATCAAATATGGAACCCCGTCAATAGTCACCCATGCTACGTGACAATATTGCCAGTATGTCATACTAAGTAGCATTGAAAGTAAGAATGACTGGTGAATAAAGAATAGGAAGTGGTCAGGGCATAATTGAGATACTATCTCAATTTGAATTTGAATCGAGGAAATGTCGAAAACCGTGAAAACTCAGGACAGTTCGTGTCCCGACCGAGATGCGTACAGAAGCTTCTCGAATACGAGTTCTGAGTGTTACCGCTGCGGCAGCCTGCTTGGTAAGCCTTCTACCAGTATATATAAAAATATGTAAGGGTGAGATGATAGCACCGAAATGAGCAATTTCGGGTTACCATCGCAGCATATTGTTGAGTGTTAACATGTTGCATGATCGTAAGTTGTATACTATGTTACGAATGAGCGAGCAGTCTTTGTTTCAGTGTGTCGTGTCTGTTCTGTCAGTATTGTGACGGATTTGTTCAGAGGACTAAGCTATGGAGCCAGAAAAGCCTGTTGCAAGGTAAACATTCCGAACACGTCAACAGTGGAATTTCGGTTGCTTGTTATCGAACATTCTGGTCTAGAAAACCGAAATTAACGGCCGTGGGGATTTTTTTTAATTGTAAGAAAAAAAATAAATATAAAAGAGGCCTAGGCAATGCCCATCCAGCCTTCTGTAGCACATTCTAATAACCATCTTATTCTACAATATAATAGCGGTGGTCCCGCAATTATTAATATAGATATTGACTTAAATCTGTGTATACTGTAAATAATCAGTGCAATTACTTCTTTTTACTTTTCTTACATATCTATTTTATGTAAATATAGGAATGTTGTTTATGAAGTAACAGATGCCTAGCAGAAATCTTTTTTCTTCTAGCCTTAAGAGCTCTGTAAGAGCCCATCACCACATTCGCATTCGGCCGTGGTCACAATGTTAAATCTGTATAGGCTTGCTTTCAGATTGGTGTGTCCCGCTCTCATACGGTTTATTGACATGAAGGCGCGGTGGTTCATTTTTATCTGTCGGAACCAGGGAGACGAGGCTTTCCTGCAGTACCTTTCAAAGTAGCTTTCTTCTCTGTCCCGTTTGGTGGTTTGACAAAAACTGTGAAGTTCTTCTTCGCCTTTCATTTTCCACTGCGTTTTAAGATCTGCAACTGGTAATAATAATTGACTAACTCTGCCTTCTTCGATTGCCTGCTTTGCCTCCAAGTCGGCCCTCTCATTACATTAACTCCACAGTGCCCCGGGATCCAGTAAAATTGTTTTTTTTTTCCTCGCGATTCCAGTCTCTATTTCATCTTTTAGCATGTGTGTAATGTGCGATGTGTTGCTTATTATAATGGGGTTACTAATGCTTTTTAACACGCTTGCCGAGTCCGAGAAAATCATGAAGTTTTCGTTGCGCTGACCACGTGACACCATCTATCCGCTAAAGTTGGCACTAACTTCGCCGACAAGCGGCGGTCGTTCGGTCGGTATAGTTCGCTTGCGGACTAAAGCCACGAATAACTTCTTTATTAAGACCGCCACAACACAACTGTATCAAGGTCAGTGCCTGGTTTTGGCTCTGCTACATGTTTCGGCTGTTAATAGCCATCATCAGGCAAATACATGGGTAACATATATACACCACTGAACTGCAGTATAAATAAAATTGGATACAATAATATTAATTATTATTAATATTAATAATACTTATTATTGAGTCGTTCTTTACATTCCCTATAGGACGGACAATACTTTGTAAGATGAGACACCGACTAAATACACGTACGAATTAACATTAATATTACTACACATACATCACGAGCCTCCAATAACAGTTTTTATACACAAAATATAGAATACTCCAGTTTGTCCATGGGAACGAAACAAAATCACAAAAACCAACGGCTGACTCGATGATGCAAAGCATCAATCGAAGAATATTTCCCTTGTTTTATACTACAACTTTTGTTTTATATAATCTAATTTATTCTATTTTTACGTCAAGTATTTTAATATAATTAATATTATTGTATCCAATTTTATTAATATTGCAGTTCAGTGGTGTATATGTATATATATATATATATTAGCCATGTATTTGCCTGATGATGGTTATTAATAGCCGAAACATGTAGCAGAGCCAAACTAGGCACTGACCTTGATATAGTTGTGTTGTGACGGTCGTTATAAAGAAGTTATATATTATAACACAATATGATGCATGAAATGAAAATTAAAGCCACGGAGTTTGTATCGAACATTTCAATGGGCGCGTATTCGTGACAACGCATTTGTGACAAAGGAATTTCCATGGATACCAACTAACTTCTATATAATGAGCTGAGGACACTCCTGACTGATACCCCGTGTGGTAGCGGGGTCGAATACCACCACCGTAGCCTTGCAAGTCATAGGAGGTGACGAAAAGGGAAGTCTCGAGCCTGAGACAGTAAAATATTGTAACGGAGTTTCTCAAAGCGTTTCTATGCAAGGGCTCGGTAAACGCGTTCCAAAGTGCCGCAATGGAAGATGTGTCTCAATGGACGAATGTTATAGCTCGTCTGGCAACAGCGCGACAATGAACTCGCTGGCTAGGAATCACGTGACTTGTGTTTTCTGTGTTGTCCTTGTAAAGACTATATAACGAAGACCTGTTGTAGCTTATATTAGTTCAGAGTGCAGTGTAGAGAGTCCAGAGACCTTTAGTGTGTTCCGAGGTTTCAGGATGATCGAACAAGAAACGACAAGAAGACTTCATGTCGATCTGAAGTGCTAGTTCCTGTGTTGAGATACGTTGCTAGGAGACGGCTAGGGAATCTGAGAACCCTAGTGCATATGCTACGGTGAACTGTAAATTTTGTAAATCAGCGATAACGCTGTATTAATTGTAAGGGAAATTGTAACCGAACTGCTAATAAATCCAATCATCCGAACTATAACCCGCTATTTTCGTCACGCGTACAGCACTACACGGTACTCGGTGCAGAGAATGACTGCGCTGGCGAAGGCCAACAGCAATTGTAAATGACAGACCCGTCCTCTTGTCAGAGAGAGCGCCCCACATCAACAAACCAGCAACTGTCTGACAGTAATAAAAATCTGGTCGTAAGCCCCAGATGGGTTGTTTATTCCGGGACAGACCGGCCGACTGACCGTCAGTCGTAACATCAGACTCAGACTCAGACTATGTTAACGGACGTTGAAAAGTTTATTTTATGTGTTACCGTTACGGTCATCTTTAGAGTGATATAATTACCTATACTTACGACTTGTGAGTATCCAATAAACCGACTCACCAATCCAAACCCCGTTTATAAGTCACTGATACACGTGACAGTATTGATAATATTTTGATGTGGATATGTAAAATGTCGTATACCATTCAAATGAGACAGTTTATAATTGTCTACTTGTTTGTTAGTCTTTGGATAGAACGTTAAACGTCGACCTCGGGGTAACATGCGATAACATGGAAACGGGACTGGGACTGGAAATAAGTGCAGCAGCAAAGCTTATATAACGAACGTCTGTTAAACTAGTTTGTTTTCAAAACACCCAGTAGGTATGATTAATTACTCTGCATGTTGTTGGGCTAATTTGTTTTTCTTTTCAGCTCACTGTAAATACTGTTCAACATGAATTCCTCAAAACATGGTTCCTCACACAAAGAACTGGTATGGCAGACTTGATATGAAACGTGTAATCATAAACATTGTACAAGAAAACATTATTTATGGTTGCAGTGTAATACTGTAGGTGGTATAAATGTGTTCTGTAATAAGTAGACGTCGGGACTTCCTGTACAGAAATGTAAACCTGCCAAAGTCTTGTATGGAGACTGCATATTCTGAAGTGGAATAAAGACTTTCACTTTCTGCGTATATCTTGCTTGTTTGGAATCTTCGCTTTACACCTTGCTATTGTCCTTCCTCACGCGTGTGGTTGTGAAATGTTCAAGCTGCTTTGGAGTCGTCCAAGGTTTTCCGGACAGGTGTGGTCACACTAAAGAGAGCCGTAAACAAGATGTACGAGTATGAGTACTAAGCTTACCCTCACATTCTTTCAGAATTCTCTCCAGGCGAATACGTGGATAGTATCTTCAAGGAGTACATCCTATTATGTTAACTTATACACGTAATTTATTGTTTTTCTGTCTCAACACAACTATCGAAATCTCGTTCATATTTACTGTGTATATACTGTGTGTACGTGTGTCTTAATTGTATGGAAGAGCCGGTCACGGTAGCCGAGCGGTCTAAGGCATGTACTGTCTTCGCTCGTTTGGAAACCGGGATCGTGGGTTCGAATCCCATTCAGGGCATGGATGTTTAGTTTGTGTGTGTGCGTTTTCCTGTGTTTGTCTACAGGTAGAGGCCTTGCGACGAGCTGATCACTCGCCCAAGAGTCCTACCGAATGTTTAAGATCTAGAAAAACCGAAGTGAACGGAGGAGTTCATGGAGGAAGGCCTAGGCCCACTGGGGCTGTAGTGCCAAGGGAGTAAAAAAAAAATTGTGTGTATGTGTGCTACATGTTTCGGCTTATAAAGCCATCATCATGCAGTATGCACTAACAGTTCACAAAGTATTGAATTGCGTTTTATTACGACATAAGAACTATTACTAATGTACCTGACATTACACATAGTTAATATGTTAATTATAATTAATTAACTATGTGTGAAGTCATACATTAGTAATAGTTCTTATGTCGTAATAAAACGCAATTCAATACTTTGTGAACTGTTAGTGCATACTGCATGATGATGGCTTTATAAGCCGAAACATGTAGCACACTGCCATACCATTAAGACCAATAAACTCAATATACACAGTAAATGTGAATGAGATTTCGATAGTTGTATTGGGATGGAAAAGAAATAATTAAATTATATGGATAGTATCTCATAATAGGCCACGACAGCTTCTATCGGTATCATGCCATCGTACCACCGAACAGGTTGGTCTATCGTTAACGCTCTGGACGTGTATTGGGGGATGCTGGGTTCGAATCCCGGCTGGAACACAGACTATACTGATTTTCTTTGTGGTTTTCTTAAAACCCTTCAGGGAAATACTGGGACTGTACCTCAATTAGACCATGATCTCTGCCTTCCAAATCCTTTTCATTTGCCTTACTCATTTTTCAGTCTGCCATTCGACACTATGTAGCCTGCAATACTGAAAGCGTCTTTATGTAGCCCAACACAGACCGTCATACTATCGGACGCTATACAAACCACACAGACCTGAAATCGTGCAAGAAGATTTGCTCCGTTCACGGAGTTAGCGAAACTGAAAGTGGGGTGTGGTGCTTGTACGTTAGTTTTCTCGTAAAATTGATGAAAAGCAATAAAAGTCCAGCTTTAGTGCAGAATTCTGCTTGATTTAAGAAGTTTTACAGAATTCTGTTTGGAAAGCAAAGCAATAATATCCGTAGGAAAGGAAGCTTCAAGTGGATCCTATGTAATTATTGTTCATATACTAAACGTTAACTCCTTATTTGCCGTTGGTCCAAGTATAGCTTCTGTCAAGGATACATCGCTTCGTCATTTAACAACTGCAAATAAAGCAAACAAGTATAGCCAGTTCTCGCTATTCATTCGTAATTTCCTTTGCCAGAATGCTCCCGCGAAAATCACAATAGTTGGAAAGTGTACTCCAGTTCGGAGTTTTCAAATGCAATTTTTGCAGTTTTCTATATCACTGGCCCTCACATCCACTTACTGTAACTACAAACCCATTTTCGATATAACTAATCAACAGCAGATATACTACACTCGAGAGAGCAAACGGTTTGTTTTGATAAAGTCAATAAATATCTTGATAATATATATTTTTTTCTTATTGCTAGTGGGGTGGGTATAAGTCCCTTGTACTGCGGCTACTTCTGGCCTGTTTTACCAGCCCCAGATGATAGGTGAGGGTGATTGTAGAGCAATTGGTGGAATGAAGATTGGCAGGGGAAACCGAAGTACTCTGAGAAAACCTGCCCCAGCGCCACTTTGTCCACCACAAATCCCACTTGACCAGGCCCGGGGTCGAACCCGGGCCGCCGCGGTGGGAAGCCAGCGACTAACCGCTTGATCTATGGCGCGGCCTTGATACTATATTACACACAGCTTTAAAATGCGTTTCCTTGTATCATCACATATTCCCTGTCGGAAAAGTTTTGAAGTGTAAGTAGTACTGGTAGAATTTAACGAGCCCTATTTTTTACGTCAACATTAACTTTTCGGAAAACCATGCCCTCTTTTGAGAAATCTAATTAAACTGTGTTCGATCTTCATGTAAATTGCCTTATTTTTACTTAAATTAATTTGATATATTCGTTCTATACCATATATCCCCGAACTCCTAAATGCAAATCACTGACATATGGAGAACATCTGAATAAAATTCTTTACATTTCACATACCTTCAATATCCTTCGTGCATGCAGCTTCTCAGGTTGCTAGAGACACAAGACTAGGCAATCGCCAGACAACTCCAGAATGTTATATAGCCTCCCCTCTCTCTGCATCCGTTACAGAGTTAAGGTCACCTCATGTTATGATGGCTTCTAATATGATAATGCTCTCGTTTCGCAATTTGTCCTTTACAGTGTCAGAATCTCCATTCTCATAGCAGTCTGCGAAGGCAATATTACCCTGTAGTTGATGATCTTGGTGCAGAAATGCTATTTGGTTTTTTTCGTTGCCATTTTATTTTAAAAATGAGTTTTTTTTAGTAAATGTATGAACTAATGTTACTTTAGTCATTTACAGCAAGTCAACGGGATGTTAAAAAATTTTCATAAAGTAGTCAGTTTGTACTTCTTTCCAGAAATTTATAAAATGGATATATATATATATGCATATTTGCGCCAGACCTTTTCAGTGCAAATTGTTAGTGACGTACTGGAAATGAATATAAGCTATTGCTGTATCCACCTAGACTGGCTAAGTACAAAACGTGTAACAGTCACATTTAGTTATTTGGAGGTTATTAGACGGCACTGTACCAACAGTAGAGATTATATGTCCTATATGGTTTAGACAAAATTAAAGCATGATCAAGTATACTGAAGTAGAATTAGAAGCGGCCAAGACCTGTTTCAAGCCGGTCACGGTAGCCGAGCGGTCTAAGGCATGCACTGTCTTCGCTCGCTCAGAAGCCGGGATCGTGGGTTCGAATCCCACTCAGGGCATGGATGTTTCTGTGCGTTTTTCTGTGTTTGTCTACAGGTAGAGGCCTTGCGACGAGCTGATCACTCGCCCAAGGAGTCCTACCGCATGTGTAAGATCTAGTAAACCGAAGTGAAACGGAGAATTTTATGGAGGTAGGCCTAGTCCCAAATTGGGGCTGTAGCGCCATAGGAAAAGACCTGTTTCAAGATACTATCTCGAGAATAGGCTGGGCGATTGAGGGAAAATATGAATTACGCAAGTTAGTTAGTGCACCGATCGAAATTCGAAGAGAATACAAGTCAGTCGGGTTATCACATGAACTAAACTACTCATCCGTGTCCGTATATACACATTCATGCGAAGGTAAAAGTGAAGATACATGCCGCACAACAAAGGCATATTGTCTTCTGTCTTTTGGGTGTTACACTAAATGTTCTCTCTTCGATCCGTCCCAATATATTAGGTAGATGTTCAAAGCAGACACTTTTGTTGGGGACTTACGGTACTCGTTACCAACAATCACTGTGCTGGCAAGAACCAGCAGCAATTTAGCAGTCAGGGAATTGCGAAGAGTTGTAACAAATGTTCCGCCTACACAGAAAGACGGATCCCTTCCCTCGTCAGAGAGTATGCCACACTTCTGAACATGTGTACATTTTTAGGACAGAACAAAAATTTGATCATAGATCTCCAAGAGACCTGAAGCCAAGAATGACTGTGCTGGCGAGGATCAGCAGCAATTTGACCGACCGAACAATATTTTCTTCATCTGAGAGAGGGGAGGAGGAGGAAGTGCGATGCTGTTCTCAGTTAAACGCCTATACAGAAAGGTGAACCCTCCTCTCGTCGAAGAGAAGATCCCGTTGCCTAGCAAAGTTATGCGTGGGACACACGGATACAGAAAGGAAGGAGTTTGCATAAGCCTACTTCAGGAAAGTAGGCTAAAACAATCACAATTAACGTTAATATTTAACCGAATTAGCCGATGAATTTTATAGATGTTCAACACAGACAATACAGTCTCTATGTAAGATTTGAGGCTTTCACGGCGGTGACTATGAAGAAAGCAGTCTTCTGGGATTTGGCACCGTGTATATGTGGTGTTAACCGACGTTTCGGAGGAACGTATCGCCCCCATCTTCAGGGTTGAAGAAAAAGTATAAGTAAATCTGCAAGCGACAACACCGTAGGACACGGTAAAGCAGACTGCTTTACCGTGTCCTACGGTGTTGTCGCTTGCAGATTTACTTATACTTTTTCTTCAACCCTGAAGATGGGGGCGATACGTTCCTCCGAAACGTCGGTTAACACCACATATACACGGTGCCAAATCCCAGAAGACTGCTCTCTTCAATACAGTCTCTGTCAGAGAGGAGGAGGAGGTGGTCCTTTCCTCTCCTCAGTCAGAGCCGTGAGAGCGCTCACACTGAAAGGCCGATCCCTCCTCTCGTCGAATATGAGACCCCCTTGCCAAGCAGGGGGGGGGACTCACAATAAGGAAGGAGATCGCATAAACTTAATTTAGGAAATTAGGCTAAAAAGGGTTAAATGCAGGGTGACATAACCTCTCAGACACTTTCATAGTTCGCATTGCTACTATTAGTGGGCAGTACACGTACCGTATCTAATTTCTGCTACTGGAGGATAGCACAGATACTAAAGCAATCGCGATAATATAGGCTTTGAGGTTCTCACAGAGGTGGTTATGAAGAGTACAATCTTCTGGGATATAACGCCGAGTAGCACGTTGGAAGTCAACTGACGTTTCGGAATAACATCTCTTCTCAATTTTCAGAGCCGAACAACAAGCCAAGCAAGAAACTAGCGTGAAAGCAGGTGGCAAGCAAAGGCTTATTTTTCGAACCTGAAGATGGTGGCGATATTTTCCTCCTGAGCATCACTTGACTTTAACGGAATACATGGCATGATATCACAGAAGACAGCACTCTTCAATCCCGATGTCTCTACTTTTAGTCCAACATACTGCGACATGTTGTCAAGTGTATGGGTGTGACTGTAGATGGGGTTTGGAGTGGTGAATAGATTTACTGACTACTCGTACACACACTACTTGGAACTACAAGCAATTACAGCACTACTGCTACAATTCACCATAGCACCCGCTAAGCCCTGTTCCAGCCTGCTGTGTCTTCACCATCCATTCCCTAGCAACGGCTTCTAACAGTGTAGATTCTTCGGCTTGATGCGCTCAGGTTTATATTCACAGCCTCTCGTGCATAACTCAACTGACAACTGAACTCATTGTCAAAGTCAAAGTCACATTGTGACTGACAGTCAGTCAGTCAGTCAGTCAGTCAGTCAGTCTGTCAGTCTGTCTCGGTGTCAAGCCCAACCTGGGGCTTATGACCAGATATTTATTACTGTTTGACAGTTTCGGTCTTGTTTTTGTGGGGCACCTTCTCTGACAAGAGGACAGGTCTGTCTTTTGTCAAAGTCATTGTCTGCAGTAGTAAGTCATTTGTCATAGTGTAAAGGATATTTACATTTTACATGTTAAACATGTTAATAAATGTATATAAAATATATACAGGGCCTCTGTCAGTTTAGGCTCAGTATTGCAGATTATGCCCTATTTCTAGTAGCTTCCGCTACAACGGCAGTCTAGTCACTTGAACGGTTGTATGCTTGCCCGCTGCCAAGTTCAAGCCTCTTATACTTTCTATGTCGGGATTCTCCTTGAACTCATTGCTTCAAATGTCCTGGTTATAACTTCTTGGCACGGACTACATAGAAAATACCTTTCCATTGTTGCATTTGCATTCTTTGCAGCGGGAACGTGTTCACCTAGTTGTTTCCCAGAAATGGACTGCATAAGCCCCTTGATTAAGGTTCTGCTGCTCTAGGAACATGTGTTGTTTTCAACCATTACCCAGCAATGGGTCTACACGCTATGATATATTTCTGTGACCTTCAGAAAAAATTGTCATTTGTTCCTGCATTTACTTGAAATGTCACACATATATAATTTTAGAATTTACCTAAAAGTGAAAATGCGTGGTGTGAACACGTTTCGTACCAATTGTTATGTATTTATTATCACTGCTATCTTGTGTTCAGCATAGAAATATCACATGTGTGTAAATTCCTTAATTGCAGCACATAAACAGAAGGGATATAAAAGTAGAAAAGAATACATCCAAGTTGCACACCCCCACATTTCCGTAAGTACATATGCCAAGTTTCAGCTGTCTGGTTTCCTTGGTTTTTGAGTTAAAGCATTAACACACAAACACACACTGTCATTCTTTTGTTAAGATGTAAAAGAAATTGAGTGATATATAAGAACCACATTTTCTTGTTCAAGAAAGCTGCTTTAAGTTCTTAATGTGGAACTTATGTCAAGGTAACAGTAATTTGCAATATTACACAAATTACTTTATCCAGATTTCCATAAATGCACATCTGTCATGCTCTGAGGTCAATGCTCCACTACATTTGTTATGTAACACACTTTAAACAGTTAAAATACAGAATTTCATTTAATTCTGCTCCAGATGTTCAATTATGTATGCATTAATTTACAATAATTTTGTGCTCTCATGAAATAATTATGAAGAGTGAATAATGCTATTTCAGACTTATGATGCTTATCACATTAATTACTGAGGTTCAGAGACATTGTGTTAATTATATTCTTTATGGTATTCATCCTGTTGAATATAATTCACTAAAAGAATATGATGGCATGTACTGTCTTTGCTCACTTGGAAACCGGATCTTGGGTTCAAATCCCACTCAGGGCATGGATGTTTAGTTTGTGTGTGCGTTTTTCTGTGTTTGTGTACAGGTGGAGGCCTTGCGATGAGCTGATCACCTGCCCAAGGAGTCCTACCGAATGTGTAAGATCTAGAAAAACCGAAGTGAATGGAGAAGTTAATGGAGGTAGGCCTAGGCCCACTGGGGCTGTAGTGCCAAGGAAAAAATTTAATGTTGTGTAGACTGCCTCAAAATCATATTAATTTAGTGTTAATTATATGTGTCAGGGAAAGAAAGTCAGTTAGTTATAAGTTACTTTCAAATGCATTATTCTTTCATTATTTCTCAAATTTCTAAACTGCTTCATATTCTTGTATGAGTATTTATTGGCAGTATTAACATCTAATGTGATGCCATTACAGTTCTTCCCCTACCTTCTTTACAAATATATAACCTTAAAGGAAAGTGGTAGGATGTCAGGATGTGGATGCATTCCATCTGGCTCAGCATAAGGTCAAGGGCAGGGTGCTAATGAATGCAGCAATGGACCTTCTGGTTGGACAAACAGTGAGAAATTTCTTGACTGCCTAAATGAATATTACCCTCCCAAGAAGGTCTCCACTCCATGTAGTTATTTAATATGCATGGGTCACATAGTAGTTAAATTGCTGAGACCCAGAGAAAGGCACAAGTTTGTCTTAAATGCAGCTTCTGTCTTCTTTCTTTTTGTTTTCAGTTAATGGAGCTAACAGAAACAAAAGATGCACTACTGGTTGTTTTATAGTTTTCCAATCATATGCTGGGATAAGAGTAATTGGATTGATCATGTAAACAGTGTCTCTTTGAATGATGAAGATTCTAATTCTGATAAGCTACTTCTGGATGAACTGTATATGAATAATGATACCTTTCCTACTGTACCTGTGTAGGATTTTGTTGACACAGAACATCACAATACAAACTCTATCTTAGAACAACAGTGTATCAAGAAAGACTGCATGGCTTGGCCATGCTTTCTCCAAGAGAGAAATGGTCACAAAATTGGATCATAATAATCTGATGACAGGGATTTTTGCAAGAAAGGAACACCAGAAAAGTGAATTTCATAATATGGTCAATATACTCAACAATGGTACATTGTAAGCCTATGTTTTGTAATCTGAGATTTGAGGCTCTCATGGTGACAAGCATTATGACTATGATCTTTTGGAATGTGATGCCATGTAGTTTGATAGATCTGTTATTGCTCTCTCTGTATTTTGCCATTTCATTTTTGGGCATCCAATGTTTTTTTTTCCATGTTATTTATAGAGTAAAACCTTCTGAGTACTTATCTAGCACAGGTTTTCCCAACAGTTTTGAACCTACAAGGGCTTGATCTGCATGGATAATGGTGTGTATGAACAGATGTCATGCCAGTCCACATTCATTCAGATTTGTTGAAGAAATTTTTACTGCAGGTTTTAACTCTCTCTCTCTCACACACACACATTTGCATGTGTGCATACATGAATTTAGAAGCCATCACAGTTAAAATTTCTAGCAGTGAGATGATTTTTCTTTTTGTATGAAGTACATGACTGTTTTCTCTTCTCACATACCCATGTATTCATTACTGGAATATTATAATTGTACATGATGGTACAATAAACAGCATGTCCTTTTTTATAGAAAATAACTTTTTCACCCACTAACACAAGGATTTAACCATACTGTTTTAAATCAGTGGTTGTAACCTCTGGTTCCCCATTACACACCAGTGGCAACAATTATTTTTGTCTGGTTTAACCACAGACTTATCCACTACAGTTGAAGTCTGCAGATAGAACTGTGTACATATGCCTTGTTGATGTGTGTTTATCACAATGTTCAGCAGAATATAAACTGTTCTGATGTAATGAATGGCTGGATAAAATATTGTCATGTGTTGGGGTGACCCTTGACAGAGTTTTGGATAACTGGATTTATTGACCACTTACAGATCATAACTGCAAGTAATTATAACAGTCTCACTGAGTTATACACTCCAAATATCACTGTAACTACAGCATACATAAAGTCTTCTCTGTCTTCACTAGTCATTTCCTGGTAACAGATTTTAACACTGTCTGCTCATGTCTTTACCATCTGGCACATACTGCACAACTCAACTGTCTTCATTTCATCCCACTTGTAAGTCCTTGGCATGGACCAACAGAAAACACATCTCTTTGATTGTTGCTCGAATTGTTTCTCTGGAAACATGTTTTGTTTGTGAAGCATGTAACCCAGTAATGGCTCTGTATATTTGCTTATCTCTTGGACATTGCCCAGTAATGGCTCTACATGCTACAACATGTACAACATCTTGCAGACAAAAGAGGAAGTCTCTGTTGCAAATTAACAAAGGAGGCTTTATAAACAGGGCTCCAGAAATGTGCTCAAGAACATGGATTGATGGAAACTAATGGCAAAGTATATTTTTAACCTTGGTCTAACTGTGCTGGTATTAAAATAATGTAATAAATGATTTAGTATACTATGTGAAAAGCACAGAAAGAAAAATCAAGAATGTAATATTTTTATTCCCTCATTTTAATATTTAACAAATTAAGGTAGAGTTCTTAAAAATCTTCATGAAATTTATCTGAATGAGGGTTACCATGAGAGTATCAGCAAGTGGATTTTGTTATGCAAATATTAGATTCTGTATTTCTAGGGTCTTAACTACGGTCATGAGCACAGGTAAAATGATGGTTTCACACATGGATTTGTAAACTTCACTTTCAAGGCTACAATGTTGATCAGAAGATGACATTAAAAGGAAACTTGGTTATAATTCAAACTGGATTAAAATTATATAACATTTATTCAAACAGTGTAAAAAAATATCATGGCACAAGAGAATAACCTTTTCAGTTTAGGTTTCTGCTTTTAAATGAATCTATAATATCACACCCAACACCTCAATTCTCTACAAAGTCTTCAATTTAAATTCTTTGTAATACATGATTACAGTGAAGGGCATATGCATATATATATATATATATATATATATTCTCTTCATATAATTTTTGTTACAAGTACAGCTTAGTATTCCTTAAACCGAAGGAAAACAAACATACTGCTCCAGAACTAGTAATGAAAATCTGTAATTTTATATAATGTTCTTCATTAATTTTATAAATCAAGATCATTAACTATTAGTCTGAATACTCAACTCTATTCCTAAATCTTTCATTTCACTTCTCAGCCTGGAAGACAGATTATATGCATTATGAGCTACACACAGTATGGGATGTATATTATTAATTAATCCAAATATTTTAAATATCATTCATAAAGTTATTGTTCTGTCAACCATTTCCTTAAATATATGTTGAGCAATGTTTCTAAAACTTGGGGGGGAAATAAGGAAAGAAAGGAAAAAAGAAGTGCTTCTGAGTAATGGAGATTAAGGTGCAGGTTGAATCAAATTGGATCCTCTTATGTTCCCATTCTCTGATGACAGTAATTCACTAAAGAGGCTGGTTCTTCTTGCGGCTGTGTCAGACATAGGTGTTTATATAGCACAGTGTTCCTGCCATACTGTAACATTCATTTCATACACATTAACATGGAGCAGCAGTGAGCTTGTGAGATTGCATAATTACAGAGACCAGTTCTATGTGGGTTTTTGTGATGACAGTGATGATCTTTATGTTTCATAGCAACAACAAACTTCTCTACCAGCTGAATGGACAGCCATCAGCTACCTAAGTGACACTCTGTACCATTAAGATTGTTCAGAATCACAAAATTATACGTAACTAGCTGTACCCGGCCACGCGTTGCTGTGGCAGATCGAGTGAATTGCTTCCGCTCCGCGAGTACGACGACCTAAGTTTGATCTTCTGCGAGGCATTATTTGGATGAACTAAAGCAGATTGATTGCAATGAAGAAAAAGAAAGTTATAACAAAAACATATAAAATTGCAAAACATTAAAAAAGGAAAGAACACAAACTGGAAAACAAAGAAACCAAAAAAAAAAAAATTAAAAATACTAACGAAATATATTTCAATTCAAACACAGATCAATCGACACAGCTCACTCCCACCGCCAATTGCGCTGAAAAATAAGGAGAACAGTTAAGAAAACGAAATGAAAAACAATGAAAAATAAACTATACTCACAAAATGAATGACGTATAAACTGTTACAGTATATTAATATTGAGTACAATTAATATTTTAACAACCAACCAACCTGTCACAGGTGTGACATATGTCACACATGATTTTAACATCATAAAGTCTTAAAATACCTTTTTATTGAGTGACATATTCTTGATGTCTTTTAAATTGTTGCATTATTTACGTGTACTTTGATAATAAGAATATGTCGCGTGTTACCTATGTAACGTTGTTGTGGTCACGTGTCTCCTATTCAGTGAGACAAATAACTTCCACGTACGTCTTGGATTCAGTGAATAAGTTATTGAATGCTCACTTTTACACCAGCGAGTACAATTATTATCACGTCCAGTATCACCAAAAAACTCTTCGGAGCTGGACTGTTATAACCTGGTTTCGGACACAATAGAGGGCACTTTCGCCCAGGGTTCGATTTCACGTGTTCTGTGCTCGTTGCTGCGGTTATTCCTAGGCAACGATCTGTTGGTATTCGATGGATGACAGAACACCTTGTAGAAGTGTTTGGTTTCATCCGTTGTTATGCAACGGAACCTCTTTTCCTCTCATCTCTGGGGAAGCGCGTTTGTTGTTTCGGCAATTCCTATGCAACGGCCCACTGTTATTGTGTTTCCATGGAAGTATACTTTCCGGTTTCATCCGTTGTTACGCAACGGAATCTCTTATCCTATGCAACTGTTCTAGCATTACTATGGAAACGACTGCTGGATTCGGAACATGTGACATGTTTTTACCTGTTTTTACCTGTCACATGTGTGACATCTATATAACAGGTACATAAAAAATCTAGTGTATTCGAATGCAATGTTGTGTCAAAATTTCAAAGCAATCGGTGAAGAACTTTTGGAGATTGTCGTACAGGGACAAACGAACATTTACATTTTTATTTATATGGATTGTGATGTTCCTACATTTATTATGTTTCAGATCAATCCTTCACCACAGTTCAAATTATAGAGTTGCCACAGCCAGGAGGGGCTACCATTTTAAAGTAGCGCTACACTGGTCCTTGTATCACAATAAGATATTACCATCTGATAAAATCTTATCAGGCTATTGGGCGTGTCAATTGGTTAAAAGTTACTGACATTCAGGGACCATCTCTACCCCATCATCAGAGTCTCATGTGACCCTGAAACGTATGTAAAAAATTGACATGGCTGATAACCCAAGAAGATTTTATCAACTTCAGCCACTGTGAAAGCTTCAGAACTTATACTGCCATCTGTTGCATCCCTTATTAACTACAATTTCAGTTCTTCTTCTGGTTTTAGAGGTGCAAAATGATAATCCACAATGTCCTGAGTGACTCCTTCCAGTGTCGGTGGGTTCCATTGAGGCTTCTGATCCTTGTCAATCAACAGAGCTCGAACACCTGTAAACAGTGGACAGATTAATATGGAGATAAAATTTTTCTCTGCTTAATTAAGTGCCTTGCCATGAAGACATATGGGACACTGCAGGTATGGTTCCACACATTTTCAAACATTGTGCAGAGAGAGATTAATGTGGTAAGATCTCTATATTCTCATTTGACTGCAGTCTGGATCTATAACAGCTGCTCCCAAACTGTGCTCCATGAATTCCTTTGAGGTCATCAAAATAGCAGACCTTGCTGTATGCCAGTATTATTTCAAGGAAATTCACAAAAAGCAATGATATGAGCAGTGCATGGCATGCAGCATGCATAGGAGGGGGTTGGATGCAGGAGTTTGGTAGGAAAATCTGCAGGAAAGAGATCAATAGGAAGACCTAGATGTAGATGGGATACTAAAATGAATTTTAGAAAAACAGAATTGGGAGGGGGGTTACAGACTGAATTTGTTTGGCTTAGGATAGAAACCAGTTGCACACTCTTGTGAACACAGTAATTAACAGGTTCCATAATATGTTGGAAATTTCTTGAGTGGCAGTTGTTGGCTACTACTCAAGCAGAATTTAGCGCCATGCAGTTAATTATTTATGTTCAATGTAGAGAAAAATACTGCCTTTTAATTTTCTTCTAATTTCATAGTCTTAAAATGCATACATTTGTAAAATGGTTATGTTACCTTCATAGAATTCCAGTCTGTCACAAAAGTGTGTACCAAGTCGATACTCCATGATTAGGCATTCTTGCAATGACTTAGTGGCTCCCTCCTCTAACTCCTTTTTTATCACTTTACATGAGGTTGGTGAAACTTTGCTCAGAATTTCCAGAGATCTGATGGCCCACTCTGAACCATCCTTCTTTAACCTCACCAGAATTTCTTCCACTGTTGCAGCAGAGAAGCAATTCTCAATCTGTTCAAGATGAGGTGCAAGACTGAACTGATGACTTTCAACTTTACTCGCTTTTGTGGATCTGTCAAGAATCTCTTTGATGTCAGTTTCTGGACTGGTACAGTTGATGAGCTCCTTCTCTAGTTCTTGGAGTTTTGAACTCTCACAAAAATGAGTTGCAATTCCTGCCTTCAAGCAGTCAGCTCCTTTCAGTCTATGTCCAGTAAGTGCAAGGTATAAACCTAATTTTCCTCCAAGGCGAGATAGAAAATGACTTCCTCCAACATCAGCAAAAAGACCAATTGTGGTTTCTGGCATGGCAAACACTGTCTGCTCTGTAGCTACTCGAAATGGTCCGTGCACAGATAACCCAACACCTCCACCCATTGTGATTTTATCTATGAAAGCCACATACGGAATGCTGTATGTACCAATCAATGCATTTAATGTGTATTCTTCCCTGAAGAATATTTTTCCAATGTGGTCCCCCTTCAACCCTGCTTCAGCTAGAGCTCTGACATCGCCACCTGCACAAAATGCCTTCTCTCCTGCGCCCTTTATTATTACCATACTCATCTCATGTTCCCATTTCTTCATAGCAGGATAAATTTTTCTTATCATGGACACATTGAGGGCATTAAGTGCCTTTGGCCTGTTTAGTGTGATAATTCCTTTATTATTTGTTGTTTGTAGGATAACATCATTTTCTTCACTCGAAGACATTGGCCTTCGTAATGAAAGAATCACTTTCAGGACTTTTGGACGCTTTAAATGCGAGGTTAATCCCAACTTGTACAGCAGAACCTGTTACGAAATAAAAATAACTCATTACTAACAACGCATAATAATTAACTAGAATATGTGACGCAGATACTGTGTAATATGTTACCATTGTAATTTCTCCTGCTCAAACATACGATAAATGACTTCACATATGTCACAGACTAGAAAGCGTAATATTAGTCACAAATTCAACCTGCTCATAAATATGACATTGGACTTGGGACATGTATGAGAGAAATTTCTGTCTTGTGTATTGGCATATTGGTTACTTCGAAGGTAGCCCGCCACGCAGTCTGAGGTATGAACGCCTAATTGCGGTACGTTAAGTATTCGTTATCCACTCGCAATAAATGTAAATACATTTATGAGGATTATAGTATAGCAGATCGTCTATTAATTTTATTGTGTAAGTATGGTATTGCGTTTGCTTGTTAGGTGTCAAAGGTTGCTTGAAATACGTGCGTATTGTAGAAAGCAAAAATGGGGTTATAAATAAACACGCTTTTTAACATACACTGCAACCGTGATTAGGAGCTTGAGCGAATTATTTGAAGGCGTGAACGTGTCAGGTTTATTTGCTGCTAAAGAACAACCAAGTTTATGGGTTTCATTGACACTATAAGTAAACGGTGTTTGTTTCTACCTGTGAGTGCAGGTAAGTATACCGGTGAATTTATCACAGTCGCACATCTGCCGGTGCGTTGTATTGTGTTGTATTTGCTCGGTGGCCCCCTACACGTGACAGTGTTTCGAACGGTTTCGATCTTGTTGAAATCGAGCGCGAAAATACCAGCAGGCACGTTATTGGGATGAAATACAATTAAATACAATTTTTGTGGCGTATATAGTCAATTTCTTTCAGTGTAAGAGAATGCGGTTGAGTTAGTGATTCCAATTTATGATGTTCAGCAAAGCGGCATCTGCTGATGTTGAGACTTAATCTAATGAAGGTAGAGGTGCACAATACAGTGTTGATTTCCCCCCTGCAACAGGAGGCTATGCTCAAAGACCTGTATAGACTATTACTAATTTCACACCATGGAGCATGGAGTCCTCATTTACAATCTAACAGTTGCTCAGCTACTCGAGAAGTTCCCCACGTTTTATATAACTCTAGGCCTATTACTGTGTTAACAAGAGTTAGCCATACATATTACTAGATAAATTAATAGTTGCTGTACCGTAAAATAAATACTAATATGAACTGAACCAACCAAAAGTAATCAGCAACATGACACCTCAAGGTGAACTTCAGCCCTAGGGTATCCTGTGACCCAAGTTAATTTCATCATAAAACTTTCCAGTATGACAACCAGATACTCTGACTAAATTGTATTCGTTGTGTTTGAGTCAGCAACAGTATGCAAATAAAAAATGGTTGTTAAGTGGTCACCATACCATGAAAGGCCTCAAATTTCAAATGGTTTTTCAGTTTTTAAGTATTTAGAATGTATTTGGTATTTTATACCACCAGCGAGTCCTCAGGTTGCAAATGTGGGCTGATGTATTGCATAAACAGTTATAGACACCCAGGAAAGAATGACCTCAAATTTCATATTAAGAACCTTCCAATTTAAAGCACTTGTTTGTTGTAAGTCAAGGTAAAGGTAAAGATGCCCCTGTACTTAACTAATTAAACACTACACCATGAAGACATGCCAAAGTGGATGTATAGACCCACGTTTTCTTGACCTCAGCACTAGTTGGAGGTGAGTGGTCAACTTCATGACCCGGTCACTTTTACCCCCAGGAAAAGAGCCCCTGGTACCCATTGAATAGGAAGCTCAAATGAAGGTAAGGTAAACCTATCTTTGTAACAGGCTGTGGAGGTCCATGGGGTTTTGAAGCATTGAAGCTCACACATTTTCCAGAAAGTTGGCTCACAGATGACAGTGAGCTTGTCAGCCTTATGCGCCAGGTGCCCTTTACCCCACAGGAAAATTCCTGGAACTCATTTCTGTTAGAGGCTGAGTCAGCCCAAGGGCCATAGTGTGGCTGGAAGGATTAGGTAAAAGGTCAAATGTAAAGTTATCGCTGATCTTAACTAATTAAGCACTGTGCCATGAAGGCGCATGGAGGAGCGGATGTATCAATCCATATTTTCTTGGCCTCGGCACTAGCTGGAGGTGAGTGGTCAGCTTTACGCCCTGACCGCTTTACCTTTGGCGAAGGAGCCTCCGGTACCCATTGGATAGGAGGTTGTGTGGACCCCAGAGCTGGTCTGGATGATGTGGAGAAGACAAAATTCTTGACCCTACTGGGACTCGAATTCCAACCCCTCGGTCATCCAGCCTGTAGCTAGTCGCTATACCGACTATGCTACCCCAGCACCCGGAAGGATTAGGTCAATTGAAAAAAACCCAACGACCTCATTGGGAATTGAACCCGCAACCTTCTGGCTTGTGGCATAGCACCAAAATCTTATAATTGGATGATTCTTTGGCCTGTGTTATCAGTCATTATAGTGTCATCATCATTAATCAGGTATGAGGGAAGTGGCAATACCAAAACTTAGGTTAGTTTAAAGAGAGTTCTTATAGCCTGGTTCCAGTTGTTGATCGATATATCAACAACTGAATGTAATCAGTGTATTTGAGTTGTTTTTCAACATGCATCAGTCAGTTAATTAGTATAAAAGTTTCAATGTTGTAAGTTTGTTTGAGGTAAATCTCATAGTAATTTGGAATTAATTAACTCTTACAGTGCTAAGATTGATTAAATGAACAATAAAGAAAATTGTGTAAAGTGTCTATGCTTATTATGCTGATCCTTAATTTTTTGCGCTATGTCTCCATTATAAACAACGGTTGCAAATAAACAGTTGCTAAGGACAGATTTTCAGAAGTTGAGACAAATTTAAAACTTAACTATCAAACGAAAGAAAATATTCATCCTCTTGCCACTGACATAATTTTTTGAGTGGAATTCATTATCTCAGTATTTACAAATTCATTAAGTACAGGTTGGGAACACTGAAAGGGTCGGAATAGCAGTAACGCGCTATTCTACACTCATGTTCAGAAGGTGCTTGGTTTGAATCTTGGCTATTCTGACTGAAGTTTTTCATTGCTTTCCCTAGTCCCTGCAGGCAAATGTCAGTATACGTGTAGTACCATTAGGCGACGACTAATTCCATCCAAATCCCTTCCAACTCATCATTCATCTGCCACCTTACCTTTTGCACTATATACTCTGGCTACTGACAATCGTTAAGTAACCCACAGAACATGAAAACAGATGGACTTTTTTGTTTGTAGTGTATATGGAGACAGGTACTTGAATAACTGAATAGTAAAAATATTAATTGCTGCATTTGCACATGCCCTTCATTGCTTTGGTGTCCATTGGCATTCTTACATTTTGATTTCCTCTGTTCTGTTTGTTCTGCCACCTTTTCAGGTGTGTCTTAGATGTTCTATGTTTTTGTATTCACCAGTTTGTGTGACATTGTTAAACAGACTGAATGCCTAAGGCAGCTGCAAAGTTAGGCACTGATAAAGGCCATCATTTGGCAAATTGGATGTGGAAAGGATTGGTTTCTATGTGATGATGGACTTTATGAATGGGAAAGGCTATGTCTTGTTCTCCATTGAGCAATGATTTTATAGAGTTGTGAGCACTGAATATGTTATTAGATTTTGGAACTTACAGTAGTTACTCTTAAAATTACAGTCTTCTAGGACGTGATGCCATGTAGTTGGTAGATAGATACTTAGAGTTTCAAAGGAATTTACTGCCTGCATCTTCAACATAGGATTCCTTCAAAATGTTGCTATCCATCTATCCAAGTACATGATGTCACATTGTAGAATGCTGCACCCTTCAGTTGAAATACTGAATATAAATTCTAATACTGTATAGTGATCAGGGCTGGTCACGGTAGTCAAGCGGTCGAAGGTATGCACTGTCTTCGCTCACACAGAAGCTGGGATCGTGAGTTTCAATCCCACTCAGGGCATGGATGTTTGGTGTTTGTGTGTGTGTGTGTATGTGTGTGTGCATGCACTTTCCTGTGTTTGAGTACAGGTAGAGGCCTTGCAAAGAGCTGATCACCCACCTAAGGAGTCCTACTGAATGTCTAAGATCTAGTAAACCAAAGTGAAACAGAGTTTCATGGAGGTAGGCCAAAGCCCAAGTTGAGGCTGTAGCACCAAAGGAAAAAAATAGCGATCAGGTGTCCCATTATTAAACATTCCTTTTTCCTGGAAAGTTAAATGAAACCTGAATGTTAAGTAAGCCATTTTTAATTAGAATTTTGGTTTATAGTTCATTGAAATCAGAAGAAATATTTTACATGCGAGATATCTGAAAAATACTACACTAAAAATCTACTTAATTTACTCTTAAACTGTTATAAAGAAAGTGAACTTTGCTTTTATTCAGTAATGATTACAGTAAAAGAAAACATAGTTCATAATGTATAAACATTAAAATATGTAAAATTATATGTTTGCTTTTTATGAATGTGATTTGGAACCTTGCTAGGAGGGAAGAAGGACAGAGATTGAAGGTGTCTGAAAATAGTGTGTTAAGGAAAATAAATTGACCTTTGTGAGGTGAAGTAACAGGAGAGTGTTCAAAACTATATAACTAGGGATATAATTTCTACATTTTACCTGGAATTGTTGGGGTGATTGAAATCAGGAATACTGGAGTGATGGATCATGTATCATGCAAGCACTAATAAATTCCATACACAGTTTTTGTTATGAGGCCACATGGGAATTGGGCATATATGATTTTCAAGCACCGTTTGTGCTTCAAACCATAATGCTGGGGTGATATTTGTGTGATTTCACTTTTATCTGCTTCTCTTATAATATTAATGCCTCGAGTATTTTAGATAAGGGAACTGGGATAGTTCAGTAAGTATAACAACAGGCTATGGGCTAGACAGCCAGGGTTCGATTCCCAGTGGGGGTAAGTTTCTTCTCTACTCCACAGCATTCAGACTGGCTTTAGGGCTCACCCAGCCTCCTACACAATGGGCACTGAGGGCTCATTCCCTGGGAGTAGAGAGGCTGGGGTGTGGACCTGATCACTGACCTCCATCTTGTGCTGAGGTCAAGAATGGTAGCGCTATACTCCCGTTCCTCCAAACATCTCCATAGCATAGTACTTGAATAATTAAGTACAAAGACAGTTTCACCTTTACCTTCGTGAAAACATCATAATGGTATGTGTACTTTTAGAACCTTCTGTATTATTTATTCCTGCTTAGTATAATTATTTTCTTTCTCAGATGCAGATCAGCTCTATAACTGGCACACTTAAGGTCATTGGTTGTCCCAGGGTACCCAGAAAATAAATGTGGAACACAAGATGGTTACTTTCAAGAGAAGTTTGAGGATACAAGTATATTCAGGAAAGAAGCTTATTTGGATAGGTGTAAACTGAACATGAAGGCTTAGTAAGTGTATTTTATTATTTCATCATCTTACTTATTTTGTTGGTGTTATGAATATTAAGGTCAGTCTGGTTCATTTTTGTGCTACCATGAAGGCCCACCTGTTAATTGCTGGTCAGTGTCTCAACCTCACTGATCTAGTTGGTTCAAGTGGCAGCAGTTCAAATTTTGAATGGGGCGTAGACTATTCTGATGAACTTTTCCATGGTTTTTCTGAATCCCTCCAAGGAAATTCCAGGGTTGTACCTCAATCTAGGCTTGAACACCTTCCTTTCATATCCTTTCCGATTCACTAGTCATGAGTCACCCCATAATTTGATGCTAGTAGTCTCAGATACTGATAGTGTTAAATAAATCATAATAAATAAATAAACAAAGTAGCATGTTCAGTAATATGTTTACTGTCTCTTATTCTCTGTAGAGGCTTTATGTACCCAAATTTATTACAGCATCACTGTAACTGTTACTCTTCTGTAGCACAGTTATTGGAGCCTCATAATTTTGAATAAGGACTATTTTGTGAAGGCAAGGATGATGCATGAGTGAGAGGGCTGTTGGAGATATTTTGGGGCACATGGTAGTGTAGTTGGTTGAGGCACTATGCTACAAGCTTGATGGTCGCAGGTTTGATTCCCAGTGACATCGTTTGATTTTTCAATTGACTTAATTCTTCCAGCTGCACTACGTCCCTGAGGTCAACTCAACCTCTAACAGAAATGAGTACCACGAATCTTCCTGTGGGTAAAGGGTGGCTAGTGCGTAAGGCTGACAACCTCACTGTCATCTGTGAGCCGATTGTCTAGAGAATGTGGGAGCCTTGACATTTCACAACCCTGTGGGCCTGCTACAGGGAGAGCTTTACCTTTTATTACTGCAGATTTTAGTGTCCTTTTAGCTTGCATCATGTTCCACAGTGTTGTATACAAACCAACAACAGGCTTTATATAGCACCATACAGGGTGTCCCAGGAGGAATGTGCCAAACTTCGGGAGGGTGTTCCTTATGTTAAAGTATGCCGATATAACCCAAAACACCTATGTCCAAAGTTGTACGGTTATGGAGATAATGGCCAGAGAAGTATGAAACTTTGACTGGTGTTACACACTTGTTGATTACAAAATACACATTAAAACAGGCAGGAATATGTGGTTTCTGTAATGTTAATAATGTATGTAACATCAAACTAACTTGTGAGTGACATGAAGCCATTAAATTGAACTACAGAAAACTCGCATGCCATGTCAAAGTTGTCGTTAAGAGTTCCAAGCACTATATATGACACACGAATGGCAAGCACTGACGTAACATTGCTGACTGCGCGTTCTGGTATGCGAGTGTATGGGGCTAGCATGAGCTGCCATCACCACACTCAAGGACAAATGTAGATAAGACATGCCAGCTGACAGGTACAGTGCGTGGACTTGCCAGAAGACCACACTTTTCTTGGGCCATTATCTCCGTAACCGTTCAACTTTGGACACAGGTGTTTTGGGTTATATCAGCATACTATAACATAAGGAACACCCTCCCGAAGTTTGGCACATTCCTCCTGGGACACCCTATAGATGAAATTGGAAAGAATACATTGAAAGAATGATCTGTTCTCAAAATTGTAAAATGTTAGCCCAAAGAAGAAGATGCCTAGAAAGAATTTTGAAAGAATGCAGCTGTTATGATTTTGTAATATATGGAACTATTCATGATTTCTTTTTCAGATGTTTAGAAAGAATTTTGAAAGAATGCAGCTGTTATGATTTTGTAATATATGGAACTATTCATGATTTCTTTTTCATATGCAACATTTACAGTAACTCCATTACCTAATGGGCTTTCAGATCATAATGCCCAATTGCTCACATTAAGAACAACACCCTTTTTAAATTCTTCCAGTTCTTCTGTCACTAGAAGGTCAATAAACGAATACTCTATAAAAGAATTTAAGAATAATCTCGGTTATGAATATTGGGCTGACGTATTTAATATAAGTGAAGATGTAAATATAATGTTCAACAATTTTTTAAACACATTTGTAAGGATATTTAATAATAGTTTTCCTTACAAAAAAATTAATATTCACCCATACCAAACAACCCTGGCTAACAGTAGATATAAAAACGTCTTGCATTCGTAAGAGAGAGCTATATTTGATTAGTAGAAATTTGGATGATCCGGAATTAGCAAGATATTACAAGAATTATTGCAGAATCTTAACAGAGGTTATAAAGAAAGCAAAACAACGTTATTATAATAAATTAATTTTATATTCCGATAATAAAATAAAAACTATTTGGAGTATCATCAGAATTTTAACTAATACTAAACTGGGAAAAAATCCAATAACAAGCATAAATATAGAAGGTAAATTATGTGATAATATATAAAAAATGACTAGTTACATTAATAACTATATCTCCACTACCACAAATAAAAAATAGTTCAACTAAAGACAGGAATGAAGCTATTAAATTCCTTACTGATATGTTTAAACACCTCTTTTCAGATATATGTATGTCACCAGTAACTAATAAAGAAGTTAAAGACATAGTGAAATCATTAAAATTGAAATATTCACGCGGACATGATGAAATTCCGCAATATATCCTCAAAATAAGTTTACCATTCATATTAGCACCATTAACATATGTGTGTAATAAAGTATTGACTCTTGGTGTTTTCCCGTCAAGATTAAAATTTTCTCAAATAAATCCTATTTTTAAAAAAGGTGATAGAACTGATATAGCAAATTATAGGCCGATATCTTTACTGACGTCTGCTGGGCCTGCTGGGTATGTGTGTGTGTGCTGTATAACACATGCAGTCACAGGAGCAAGACACAACACAAAGCACAATACACACACGAAAGTAGGAAGAATGCTCCGATAGAGGAAGATAGGTGTGACTCGCGTATTGAGATACGACATAAGGATGACAAATCCTGAACAGTTTTAATATTTTTAATATTTAAAATTTATCAATATATATGACGAGTATATATTTTAGTATAAAGACAACAGGGCATGCAATGAAGTAGTTTGACGTACAACGAAAAGCACCTGAAGATGGCACTTTTGTGCTGAAACATGTAGTGCAAGAGAGAAGAGTAAGGTGAATAAATGTATGCACTGTAAGATGGTTAGAATAAATTATGGGTATCAATAGTTATTGCAACAATTGTTATAAATATGTTGTAATATCTTTATGACGTCCTCTGGATTAATTTTATTGTAACTTGGGCTTTGACGTGTTCTATATCTGGAGGGGCCATCGCCAAATATAGGATTGATGAACAAAAATAAATTGAAATTGAAATTGAAATCCTTATTACTGCATATTCATAGGACAAGACATTGGCCAGTGGACTGGTTCTCCTGCATAAGAAAATCACACTCTTCCATATTGTCTAATTGGAGGTATCATTTATGCTTGAGAATTTGCTTTGGTTTAATCACTCTGCTTGCCTGATATTGCAGTAGCTGTTGAAAGTATCATCCTTCAGCATGAAAGCAAATTTCATAATGAAGTAGCAAATTCTGTTACAAACATTGAAGCTCACTTCCTATGATTTCTAGAATATTTCAGATTTTAATATGTGGGATTGTCGATGTTCCAATAGACAACCACTTCGAAAAGTTTGTGGGCCCTGAAAAGGGCCGTTTATTCCACCGTGCCTGCACTGGAGAGTTGCGGCAACTATGTTAGCTGCCTGGTCGCAGAGCGTGGTTGCTGGAGAGTTGCAGCAGGTAGCGAAGCGTGGTTGCTGGAGTTGCGGCAGTCGCGTTAGTTGCTTGGTCACACAGAGTGGTCGCTGGAGACTTGCGGCAACTACGTCAGTTGCCTGGTCGCAGAGTGTGGTTGCTTGAGAGTTGCGGCAGCTGTCTTGGCGCACTGATGAGCTGATGACTCTGATGACTGATCGCTCTGGACTGAATGTGATCACTGACGATTGCGAGCTTTGGGCTCCGCCTTTTATACCATGCTTCATGGGCAGAGCAAAACTTGCAGTTGTGATTGTGAGCACTGATTGGCTAGCGCACATGATGATCTACACATGGGTTGGACATCGAGTGCTGTATAAATACGAGCGTTGGCAGCAATGTGATTGGTTAGCGCACGTGATGATCTACAGGTGGGTTGGACATCGAGTGCTGTATAAATATGAGCGTCGGCAGCAATGTGCAGCAATGTGATATTGACTTAGGAGTGAGTGTTGTCTGTTAGACTGGCGACACAGCATGTTAGTATGTGGGATGTTCCCACATATCTAAAGCTTTTGAAGAAGTATGCAGTATATCGTGTACCCATTCTGTTTCCTCTTTTCTCAAGATTAAAATCACATACATTCAGTTCTGGGTAATGTGACATTCAGGTCCTCTGCTGATTATTTACTTTACTTTACTTACAGCTTATTGAGCCTCCATCCATTTTTTGCAGTGTGCACTGATGCATTGCCTTACTGAAAATGTTTATACTTTTCTCTGCAAGAAACACACATGGCTCTGTACTTTATCTCACTACATTTGTTCCTAGGCAAAAAATACTCACAGCTGACTGTTCACAAGACAATAGATGTAGTGATACACAGATGTAAACTACACACTTCTTATCATGGTGACAGTCTTAAGTTAGTCTTTATGTTGATGCAGTGACTCACTGCCCACTGTCTGTTGAGTGGCTAAGCAACTGCTTGAAAAAAATGCTGTAACTATAGGGGGAAACTGTTTGTATGTAACAGGTGAGTTAGTCTTAATAGAAGGAATGTGATGTTGATAATGAAAAGGAGCTGTGCGGACTTATTTAATATGGGAAAGCTTCTCATGTTAAGTGTATCATGGTTCTGAGGCAGTCTGGAACCTCTAGTGATCTAATTTCTTGTGCATAATGATGGCCAAATTTATGAATTATCATCAATGTTCTAATACAGAATTATTAACCTATTTTTCTCTCTTTCCTGATGGAAAATGAAATCAAAATCCCGTTTTAACTTGAACATAACAATTTTTCAAAACCCAAAACCATTTGAAACCGTGATTTTAGTTCCTTTTATGTAATTATTCAAACAAGCAATAATTTTTTGAAACCACTTTTAAGTGAAGCTGATATTATCTCATATTATAAATTGACAGAGTTTTTGTACTATGTTATAAAAATTATAGCAGAAACTCTCTGTAATTGTTGGTTGGGTAGTTTTCAGTTTTAACCTTTATAAGTGCTTGAAGGAGACTGCGTGGCATAATTCTGTTCTTGATGGTTTTCTCATGAAATGGCTGATGAAATTATGTAAGGATGGCATATCATTCCATGTTTTCCTGACATGATTTTTTTTTATATTTTTGACAAATCTAACATAGTGGTCATAGGAGGTCTTCAGGTTGGACTAACATTAATATACTTCAATAATGCACCATCTTGATATTTCTATGATATTAACTTTTTAAATAGCATGAAACATTTGTTATAGTAATTTTTAAAAAACAAATTTTTGGGTGGCTATCATCAGTGATATTTCCAATTAGTGATGGTAACTTACTAATCACCTAGGATCACTTTATCTCTGAATACTTTTATTTTAAACACATGTAATTTATATCCTTTCCACATTTAATTAGTTGTTCACAAAATCAAAACATGTGTCTGAGATTCATGAAAGTTACCCTATAATATATAATCCAACATGTAACTGATCAAGCACATTGCACAGGAAATAAGGTACTGCATCCCTCCCTTAAGATCCAAGGCTCATCGGTCTTGACTGTGGACCCCTTGGAATTGACAGTAGATACATGCATTTACCTGATTTTTCAGTTGCTCTTTTGCTGTCCATTAATCGTGCCTGTATATGCATCTAGCATTTAGCCCTGAATTAAAATATAAGACACAGTACAAAGAGCAGGCACAACACATGCTGACAAACCCAGGCTAGAAGGGCGGGCCAGAGTATGCAAACATTATGCTCTCAAAATATCCTGAACATGGGTAAGCCAAGTTCAGTACCCTGTAGGCGTAAACTTCCACTAGATTGCAGCATAGTACAGTTCTTGTTTTAGAATTACTTCTCATTGAAAAATAAAACAAGTTGAAGTGGTAACACCAGCTCTGACTGAGGTGGTATGTTAATGTTCTTTATTCCCCACAGTCACATGATTTTGTAACACTGAAGAAGAATTGAATTTTGTGAGGTGAAAACTAAATTCAGATACATTCAGACAAGGTAGAACAGATAAAGAAATTTAGACAAAGGAAACAGAGAAACAAAGGCAGAAATTTTACTCAGATAAATGCAGGATTTGAAGTTCTTGCAACAGTGGTTGTGAAGAATTCTGTCTTCAGGGATATAATGCCTTGTAGTCCGTTGAAAACCAGCTGATGTTTTGGAGGAACATGTCAGGGTTTATGGACTGTTTATAGTAGTCTTAAATGATTATCTGTTTGTTGGTCAGCTATCATCTAGGTGATATTAAAATATTTGACTCATCTTTTCCAATCTATTGGCATAAACATTTGAAATTTAGGCTTCTGAGATATTCACAGTGAAATGTGGTGGAGTAATATCATGTAAAAATAAGTGACATTTCAATTTCAAGTTAATTATCAGTAGTATGAGGAAAGAAAGACATTTTAGTGTACAGTGACGAATATGACCGTTAACTGATTTGGTGGCTAAAAAGAAAAGTTTAATGATGTGATGGTGCACTGTGCAGCAGTTTTCTGGTAACACCTTCAAGTGGCAGACGTTCCCCTTCCTCTGGGTTCCCGAACTATCACCATGCCTCATCTACCAGCTTCTCACAGCAACAACTCATGAGGACTGAACCGCAGCACTCCTCTAACTAACTAACTCGCTCACTGACTAACTAACTAACTAACTCACTCACTCACTCACTCACTCACCCACCAACCAACTCAATCCACTTCACTCACTGACTCTCACTAATTGTCCTGCTTATAACATCTTGGCATGAAGTTCACAGAAAACACCATTCCTCTGTTGGTGTTCAATTGTTGCTTATCAGACCATGTAGAAAATGCCATTCCTCTGTTGTTGTTTGTGGGCCTCTGCCTAGCAATGGCCGCAATACAGTCATCTATCTTGCGGTCGCTGCCTAGCAACTGGGCTACATGCCACGTTATTAATAATGGCAAAGGAAGAATGATGTTCTGCATATGATAAACATTTACCTAACTGCAAAAGACTTCTCCTCAAATTGCAGTGCAGATTTTTCTGTATGGCCACATTAGTATGAGAGTACTTCCTAAGTCACTGATCCACTTCTAGCTTCATTTTCTTTTGTTATCTGAAAGGAAGGGTGTTGGGACACAGAATAACATCTGGTAGTACAGTAGTTGCATCAGTATGAAATATATCTCTAAAAATAGAGCCACTAACTGCAAGAATATAGTATTGTTTAAGTTTCTTGCAAGTGGTTATAGTGGTGACAGCACAATGATTACTGTTTTGGAAGTATTTGATGCATGAGTTTTGAGGTGTACATCAGTTGATAGGGGTTAGTTTCCTAGAAAGTTGTGAATTTGGTTTAATTTTTGGTTTTTATTTTTCTTTACTTGCAACTCCTGTTTTGAATGAAAAACATAAAATGACTTATCTAAATAGTCTGCAGGATTGAGTCCTGATGTGAATTTGTTTAGTATGCCTATTGCCTTCTTCTGTCATACATGGTACTAAGGAAGGCTATATTATAAATCCTGTTATCCTGGAACAGAATGTCTTTTTATCTTTCCATCTTGGTGGATTTACAGATGGATGCTTTGACAAATGGCCTAAGCATTCAAGGAATAAATACTTGACTGAAGCAGGGATCATATGTGATAAATGCCACAAAACTGTCAAAGTGCTCTACCAACAGGCGTGGTGCAGGACAAGTCAGCCATGTTCCAGTGTCAACAGTAGACTTTACATTGCCATGGATACCAACAGTTGGAGGAACTTCCAACCTATGATGTTTCATCAGGAGTTCAAGCGAACAAAACTTGTGTTAATTCACATAAACCATAAAACCATTTCATACAGTGATAATGTATTTTTTAAAAATCTCTTTATTAAAATGTACAGTTTTGTAAGATATATTGGTTTGAAATAAATTTATAGGTTGTAGAGCTTCTGCTACTTTTACAACGTTTAAAGTTCTGATTTGGGTGGCAGGAAAACTTTCCATTTAAAACAAAATAAAATCATGAACAGAAATCATAACGAAGATAAAAAAATATGAAGCCCATGATTTGTTTATTTAATTTTCTGTTTATTGTCACACATATTGTTTGAAAGCTAAAAAAAATCTGTTAATGTTAATCAAAATCTTTTTAAGAGGAAGGAAAAGCAACACCTTAAAATCTTACTCAAAATGAAAAAAATGTGGATTCTTTTGTCTGACTTTCTACAAAAAGCAAAATATTTTCTGATAAATGAAAATTTAAGAGGCCCATGCCTGGGTCAACAATTTCTTAATCTTAAAGTAGCATGTTTTATCATTTGTACATTAAAGGTATAGAAGATAAAGGTATAATATGTGAAATCTGTACCTAGTACTAGCACAAGTTCACTTCATTACATGATCAAATTTCAACAGTAATAAAAATTTAGTTTGCTAAAGTCATAATTCACAAATCTTTATAACACAGACACAGTAAGCAGAATGTCGTTGAACAATATTCCAAGTTCACATAACATATTTTTCTAATAATGCAATGTTTTGTTAACTTGTGGAGAAATAAGATACTAAAATTCTGTCCTACATCACTTTTATTTGTTACAAAGTAAAATGTTCTTCTCTTTCTCATGTAAACTAACAATTCATGGATTTAGAGGAAACAATTTTTTTTTGCAGAACACACAAAGAAATATGAATCTTTAATATAATCAACAATTATAATTTTCTTACAACAATAACATGAACAAAATAAAGCACTTATGTACATATAATTTCAGATCTCTGCAGTTTGTTGATAAAAACTGATAAGTTCTATTGGTGTCAAGTCTTTTATTTATGCTGCAAAGTCTTCAATTAATTTTTTTAATAAATTTAACATCCATTTTACCATTTTATGGTATAAGTATCTACATTTATATTATCACAACCATCAGATACAACCCACAACACAACACAAATACAACATAAGTTGTACTTGATGGTTTAGGTAGTATAAATGGAGGTAATGTTTTATAATAACTCTGAAGTTGGGGTATTGTACGTATCATTATAAATATGTTTACAGCATTGTATTATATTCATATTCCTTTTTATATTTATGTTACCCTTTGATTATTTCATCTGCCAGATTGTATGGATGAACTTTTTCTTATTTCACATTTTGAGAATTTCCGTAATAATCAGATTTGGTCCACAACATGTGATCTCATTTATCACAATCACATGTCTTTATTATACAATTCCAAATTGGTAGGAATTTCACATACCTCTTCAAATATTCATTTTTCATTTCCTTATCCCATCATGGCTGCAAGTAGTTATGTCCACTGTTTTTTATTTATTTAGTAACTTCATAATCTAAAAATATACAGTCAAAATTAGTCTCAGTGATTAACTAAAGGTAGCAGCACATGATGGATTTGTGAAACCGAGCAAATATAAGGTATGTGCACCTTAGCTAAAGGATAGTTAGAAATTGTAATAGTATGTGGATAATCTATTCAGCATACTTACATGTACACGTGTATGTACATACATACTTATCAAAGGGTTAATCACAGAGTGTGGCGCCATTTTAATTTTTTTATCTGTTTTCTGTGATTAGAGCTCTACACAAGATACTACATGATTTTTGGTTTTGAGTATTAAATATCACATGTTTCATGAGAACTTGTAGCCCTCTGGTAAATGTTGTTATAAATAATTGTGGTCTCCTAGCAGTAGGCCATCGTTACTTTATTCAGCCACATCTTAAAAACACAAAAACACTAGTTAGTATTTGTACAGATTTTAAATTCTGACTTTTCTTTGAATTGTCATCTTAAAAGATTATGTTTAGTGGGACTGTATATGTATAACTTCACACAGCGTGGTTTGTCAGTCTGTAAATTCTGTAATCTTGATAAAAAGATGAACACTCAACATATTTCAAATCTTGCTGCCTTAAGTAGTAGTTTTGCTTGGGACAATGATTTTATAAACAGTTTCACTTCTAAAGTGTCGGACGTTTTTGTGACACTTTATGTATGTAACGGAGCTGAATCTTACCTATGATATTCTGTTCTATCTTGTTTGGTTTTCCATGTTGTGCTGGTATTGCTACTGAAACTTAGTGGAGAATTACATCAAAGTTGATGGTGGCTGTAAGAGCCAGTAGCTGTATAGATTCTTTTGTTGACAATATGAGGCTAGGGTAGTCAGCCTGTCACTTACGCTGTGTACGCTTGCTTGGTTGGGTTGAAAGTGACGGGCCTGTAATAGTCAAATCCCTGCCCCCATCCTCGTGCTGCAGTGTTGTAGTTGTTCAGTTTGGCATAGAAGTTCCTGCTTGGTGTTAATGTGGTAGCAGGACCAACAGCTGGTGCAGGTGGTTCTTGCCTCTGACTCAAATAATTCATGGTGGCCGGGACAGCAACTGGAGCAGACCCTAAAATGATTATGGCATACTCTTAATTTTGGCAAAAAAATGTTTTCTTGCTCAAATTTTGAGTTTCTGTTTTGGGGCCAAACAAAAACAAGTGGCATTGAATCTTACTGAGCAGGCTGGTGAAGTGATGATGCTTGAGGCTTGTATTCAAGAAGTGCTTAGTTTGAATCTCAGCCAGGACATGAGCTATCCTGACTCAGATGATTCATGATTTTCCTCACTCCATCCAGGTGAATGCCACAATATTACTTCAATTAGGCCATAATAGCTTCCTTCCAAATCCTTTACAACTTGGCATTCATCAGTCATCCTACCATCTGGCAGTATATAATCCAGATACTTACAGAATTGTAAAATAATCTCTCAGATGTGCACTACATTAGGTGTAAAGTAAAGACAAAATTGTCCCTGTGTTTAATTAAGCACCATGCCATGATACCATATGGGGAACATTGGTATAGTTGCACACATTCTTTACCTCAGTACTGTGTGGGTGGTTGGCTTTGTGCCTAGCTGTTTACCCTCATGGAAAGAGCTTCCAGTACGCACTGAATAGGGGCTGGGCTTGGTGAGCACTGGAACTGGTCTGACGCTGTTGAAAAAGAGAAATATCTTGCCCCTACAAGGACTCAAACTCTTGATTTCTCCATCATCCAGCCCATAATATAGTCTCTGTTAATTTTAGTGTATCATGTCTTATGTTAAAATATTCAGTCTCAGTGACTAACTTAAATTTGTACTTCTGCAGATGAAATTTTATGTCACAAATGAGTCCACCTGCATAGTTTTATGATGTCACCAATAGCAATTTTCTGTGGAATTGACAGTGTTCCAAAAGGACTGTCTATTTAAAGCCAAAGGACTGCAGTAAAACAAATAATTTTAAACTAAATAAAGTGCTTAAATTAAAATGGAGTAAGAATTAGTTTTTCAATCGGCTTAACCACCATATTGCGAGAACTTGTGCTACAGGCTAGGAAGAACTGCTAACTTATGTTGTACAAATTGAATATTTTCTCAAGAAAATCACTGTCACTATGATAAGAAGAGATTGCTGCTTGTGATATTATCATCAGTTAATATGTACGTATATGAATTGCAGTATAAATGCATCTTCAAAGCATTGGTATCATAGTAGGCTTAGCAGGTCTTGCCTCATTGTCTCGGTCAGTTGAGTTATAGTGCAGCGAAATACACAATGGTTGTGTATTGTGAAGGGGGGGGGGCGAGTGCCACTACCCACTTCAAGAAACTGACTTATGGTGTCATAAACATTATGTACCATGCTTCCAAAATTTAAGTGAAAATACGTTAATTGTAGGTTTTATGCGTTTAATGTGATGGAATTTCTTAATAATTAATTAAGTTGATTTCACTTTCAGTCCCTTAATCATCAGTATGATTCTTACACATTTATGGACGAAAACAAGAATTAATTTTCGCATCTTTAAACACATTGTTTAGCAGAAATTTTAGTACTTCTGTAATTTAGTTTTCAAACACACAACACAGTTGATATTTTGGAGGAACATGTCAGGGTTTACAGGCTGTTTATAGTAGTCTTAAATGAATATCTGTTTGTTGATCAGCTATCATCTAGGTGATATTAAAATATTTGACTCACCTTTTCCAATCTATTGGCATAAAAATTTGAAATTTAGGCTTCTGAGATATTCACAGTGAAATACGGTGGAGTAATATCATGTAAAAATAAGTGACATTTCAGTTTCAAGTTAATTATCAGTAGTATGAGGAAAGAAAGACATTTTAGTGTACAGTGACGAATATGACCGTTAACTGATTTGGTGGCTAAAAAGAAAAGTTTAATGATGTAATGGTGCACTGTGCAGCAGTTTTCTGGTAACAGCTTCCAGTGGCAGACATTCCCCTTCCTCTTGGTTCCCGAACTATCACCATGCCTCATCTACCAGCTTCTCACAGCAACAACTCATGAGGACTGAACCGCAGCACTCCTCTAACTAACTAACTCGCTCACTGACTCACTCACTCACTCACTCACCAACCAACTCAATCCTCTTCACTCACTGACTGTCACTAATTGTCCTGCTTATAACATCTTGGCATGAAGTTCACAGAAAACACCATTCCTCTGTTGGTGTTCAATTGTTGCTTATCAGACCATGTAGAAAATGCCATTCCTCTGTTGTTGTTTGTGGGCCTCTGCCTAGCAATGGCCGCAATACAGTCATCTATCTTGCGGTCGCTGCCTAGCAACTTGTCTACATGCCACGTTATTAATAATGACAAAGGAAGAATGATGTTCTGCATATGATAAACCTATACCTAACTGCAAAAGACTTCTCCTCAAATTGCAGTGCAGATTTTTCTGTATGGCCACATTAGTATGAGAGTACTTCCTAAGTCACTGATCCACTTCTAGCTTCATTTTCTTTTGTTCCTTCTGTAATTTAGTTTTCAAACACACAACACAGCAAACATGAGTTTGAAATTTATCCTGTCTTCAGATGGAAGCATAATTTGAGCATTCCACACACAGGAAAGGCTTGAAACAGTACAACTCTACTATAAAGAATTGTCAGGATCACATAATTAAGTCCTTTCAAAATTACAACATTAATGAACATTGTCAGATTTACGATTCTCATGGTAGTAACCCTGAAGATTACTGTTTTCTGGGATGTGATACATGCAGTTTTGAAGATAGGTATCTCTGGTACCTATCAATCAATCTATACATCGTCATATTCCAGAAGACAGTAATTTTCAATAGTGTTCATATTTTATGGACCAAGGTAGATTACATTATAACAAACAGAAAGAAAGCTGGAAAGAAAGTGATAAGGAAACTGTGGGAAAACAGAAGAAATTAGAGACCTTTCAGACATTGTACTGTACAAAATGGAAAGAATGCTAGAAAAAGGAGGGAAGTGGGAGATGAGGAGGAGGAGAAAAGGGGAACAAACAGAAAGGTCTGTGAATAGACAGAATATGAGAAGACAAAATTTTCAGAGTTTTTTGTAATATGGCAAACTAAGAAATTCACACACATTAAAAACTGTGAAGTTCCAAAGAACACATTTAAGATGCAAAATGGATTCTTTCACAGCTTCATACAGATCAATTAAGAACAAAAAGATGTAAGAAGAAATTATGCCTACTTTCTTTAAAAGCTTTATTTATCCGTGCAGAAAGCCTAGAAGAAATCTGTCAGTGTACATATGGGTGTGTGTGTGTGTGTGTAATATGGCACAGTTTATATTTAGGTATGTGTGTTATCTGACCATTGTATGTTATGTTGTTCTCATGCCAAAGCAGTTTTCACATACACATGTGGCAGCTGTATGTTTTAAACTGTGATAGTTGAAGGATAAAGGTACAACATAACACTGTTTTCATGGAGAAATGAGGGAATGACACAGTGTTATGAAGGGGATAAAGGAAAAGAAAAACAAGGGGTTGAGAAAGAAGGTACAAAAGAAATGAATCAATGTTGAACCTTAACAGGCCTTGCTCCTAGTTTCAAATTATTAAATATGTGATTTAGTAATTTATTTAATTATTGTAATTGTTTAAATTGTTTTAATCATTTGGGTTTTAAAGTATCTTACTGATTGAAAGAAAACATAAACATTGGACCAAGTAAATTTCAGAGAATGTCCAGAATGATATGAAGAACACTGAGACAAAACACCTGATAAAGTACACAACTGAAACGTTACAAGGTAGTAGCAGTGCCTATGCTGACACATGCAAGTGAAAACTGGACAATACATTTATCAGACAGAAAGAAAACAGCTAAAATGAGGTTTCTGTGTCCAGTAGCTGGATACACTTCCCTAGGTCAAAAATGAAGCACAGACATACTCTCAGAAATAAAAGTATTCACCTTAACTGAGAGAACAGAAAGGCAAACTGAAAACTGGTATGAATGCATTTTAAGAATGACAACAGATAGACTCCCAAAGATGTATCAAAAACCCAGAGGACAGCGAAGCATGAGATGACTCATAGCTAGACAGGAGGGCATATTCCCTTTGTGTCAGAAACTGGCCAATGGCCTATATCCTTGAAGAAGAAATAATTTATTTCAGTGCATAATTTTTACAGATATAAACTGCCAGCATTCTGAAGTACAGTAATCAGAAATAATATAAAAATTTTGTCCTGTTATGTTTATAAAATTTTTACATAATTTGTAGGTATTTGTTTGTTTGTCTGACCATCTATCACCATATCAAGTTTTGGATGCTTACCTGAGGATATTTGAGAACAGGGTGCTGAGGAGAATATTTAGACTGAAAAGGGATGAAATAACACGAGGTTGGAGAAAATTGCATAATGAGGGTCTTTATAACGTCACCAAATATAATTAGAATGATCACGTTAAGAAGGATGAGATGGACAGGGCATGTAGCATGCATGGGGGAGAAAAGGATTGCATGCAAGGTTAAGGTGGGAAGACCAGAAGAAGAGAGATCACTAGGAAGACCTAATCATAGGTGGGAGGATAATATTAAAATGGATCTTTGAGAAACAGAATGGGGTGGTATGGACTAGTTTCATCTGGCTCAGGATAGGGACCAATGGTGGGCTTGTGTGAACAAGCTAATACACCTTTTTGTCCCATAAAATATCAGGAAATTCTTGAGTAACTGAGCAACTGATGGCTTCTCAAGAAGGACTCAGCTCCATGGAGTTAGTTACCTACAATTGTTTATTAGAAATCACTATCAAACAGAAATCAAAATTTGAATTGCGTGGCTGCTATGTTGTTATTTTTCATTCTATAATTTAAACCACAGAATATTTGCATATGCTAAAAGATTATCATAGCATAAAATTTGAGGGCCGTACATTAAATGTGCTAGAGGCACTCCCACTGCAGAAGTCTGCATTTCAGTCATGCTGTTGTTATCAGTTGTAAGGAATTAAAATGTATGTATTAAAATGTATACAGTGTTACAAATTTATCCACTGATTGAGGGGTTATTAGGGTTGTGGAAAGATATGCAATTGAGAGACACACACACATAGCCATACGTTATATTACCATGATGTTATCATTATACATGGGAAAGTACAATAAAAACAGATGCATATTAAATTGATATATAGTTGTATGCAACCTGACAATGCATGCACTTGACATTTCTTTACAGTGCATGTTAGTTAAGCATACAGAAAAAACACAACCTTCAAAATCTGGTAAAAAAGTAATGTTGGAGAAAAAATATAAAGAAAGTCTGCAATCTTGCCTGTTATTTGTGTTAGAAGCTGCTGCTGACTCGCTTCTGAGCAATGCAGAGACTTGGATTGGAAGGTTTGGATGGAAGAGCTTTGTTCCTGTCTCTTGTTCAAGATCTGTTGCTGCTCACTTGATACGAATGATGAGAATTTCTGAAACTGAGTTTCAGAAGTTTCATATCCTTTCACCTTTTGTGTTGTAATCTCAGCTGGCTGTGGCCCAAATTGCCTTGTCTCAACATGTGTACTTGCAACGTAATATATATTACCATTAAGAATGGGAGCTTGTGAGGGTGCTGCTTCCCTTTTGTGTTGTGCCGGCATGTTCTTCACGATATTGGCCCCCTCTTTCTGAATCTGTTTATATTTCATAGGAGGTCTGCTGTTTTGCTCAAAAGTCTGGATTAGTGATTTGATTGGTTTTGTCTTGTACAGAGTATCACTTTCCTCGTTAATCACCTCATGTCTGTAAATTTTGGAGTACTCAACTGAGCTGCTGTTATGCTGTGATGTTTTGCTGCTTGCAGCTTGTACTTGGGGTATGTCCTCATCAGTGAATGGGAATGCACCAGCATGTTCTGACCCACTTTGAATGTGTGCGAAACTGCATTCTGGATCTGTTATATGACCAAGACTTTGTTCCTCAATCTTGAAGTTTGGTCTGCCTGAGACCTGCTCCTGTTGCACTGAGCTTTGGTGGAAGCTCATGATATTTTCAGTCCTTGTCTCAATTTGAGTAAAGTCCTCCTGCTGAGTTTGTATATCTTCTTGTGCTATTGAAACTTCTTGCTTTGTCTGAGAAGGACGATTCTGTTCCAAATATTCCTTCACCACTTTTATGTCTTCTGTACTTGTCATGCTTGGTATGTCTGTGTTGCTTGATGGTACCACATTTCCGGTGGAGGCTGGGGGTGGGGCTGTAGCTGTGGTCAGGACAGGAGTTTGTGGGGGACTGCCCGCAGTGGGTGTACCTGGGATGTACACAGAAAAGGGAGTAGATGGTCGGAATGTTGGGGTGGGGACAGTGGCTGGTGCACTAGTAGCAGCAGATATGCTAGTAGTAGAAATCACTTCTTCAGCTAAGCTGTTAGTTGCACTAGCAGTAGCAGTTGATTTTGCTGGTTGTGTTGCAGATGTTGACAAGTTAATCTCCTTAAACCCTGTGGAATGTTAAGTTACTCAGTTAGTGAAGCATGCTTCATTTCATTAAGTAGAAAACTTATCTGTTTGTATGGTTCTCATGATGGGGTTCTGTCATGAGACTAGAGATAATGGGGTATAAATGTAATAAATATATTATTTTGAAAATGAATGGTAAAAGACTTAATATAAAGTATGTATAGGATAGGAGATTGTAGGAAGTAATTCTGATCCATTTTTCACTTTATCCCTTTTGATGGAAACATTTTTTATTGTGGTTGGTTACTCAGTCTTTTAATAATACTGGAACAGTTTTCTTGCATTAATAGAATCAAATGAAATATGACAGGATGATGGTAAATTGTGAGTCAGAAGTATTATGAGAGGCCTACTTTGAAGTTATACCCACGTGAAATCCAGGGCAATACCTTGAAATAAGCCACCACCTCTGCCTTCCCCATTTTTGTATCTCACTTTGTGTAACCTAAATATCATATATTAGCACTAAATGATTTCTGAATTTATAGCCATTAAATGACCTAAGAATCAGTACGTATATTAATGTGAATTTGAAGTATATGGAAATGCAGCTTGTAAAATACAGTTATAAAACAGCCAAGTTATAAGTTATAATTTTGCCTTGCTGCATGATCTGTAATGTGCAAAATAAACAGGACTCTGATATTGTTCACAATTAACCACATTACATTAATTTGTTATTTTCATCAGGTTAGATTGTTTCTAGTCACAAAATTAAGACTGTAACTACGGAGTGTCAGTAGAAATTAAGAGCTAAAATAACGTTTTTCTGTTACATTCTAATATTAATCATTCCACAATCTACAAATGATTCCTCACACCACAAAATATATGTACACACATGTAAGTCTTGAAGCTTTTATGGTGACCAAATGTAATAATGTCTTCTTGGGCAAAACCCTGAGTAGGAATTGAACCCCAGAGGTTCAGTTTATAGTCACATTACTGACTGACCTAATAATTTCATCAAAGCGACATACAAGTATAGTCATTATGGCAGTTTAACTTTAGGCATTCTCATATTGAATTGACATGAATTGAACTTAATGCTCCATTCACCTTATATCTTGGAGAGACCCTATGCAGATCCCAGTTGGTTAGGAAGCTGTGTGAATCCCAGGACTGTCCTGGAGCAGGGTCTAATGAAGAGAAGAGTCCCAGTACCCCTACAGGGTATTGAGCCCTGTGTGCCCTGCCAAACTCTCATGACTCACAAAGTTAAAAGAGATCTGCTTCAGTGTCTGTCTCACATGGGTTTTACAGTCAAGGCTTTGGCATTACATCTAGCATAGAATTCAAGAAGACCATGTCATGACAAGATAAGCAGTAGGAGGAAACATCACTCAATATTGAGGTGAAATTAAATTTTAACTTGTTAGATTTGGTGCCATTTATTATGTTTAATGTGTTAGCAGTCATGAGTAATCAGTTGAGTTGAGCTGAGTTGACATAAAAGCCATCAACCAGTCTTCCACAAATCTGCATTTTCATATATGCTTTTTCTGTCCAAGCTTTAATGCTTGGTGTTACCATATTTTGTTGTTGAACTCACCATATGTTTGCTGCTGCTGCCCAACATTCCATCCCTGGGGTGCCTTCGGTTTGTACAGAAACTCCTTCCGAGGCTCTGAAATCCTCTGTTGGTAGGTGAGTGTGTGTGTCTTGGCAGGGACAGCAGGGGGTGGTTCATAGTTGAAAGCATTCTTGGTGATTGATGTGGTGGAGGCTTGCTGTTGAGGCTGTGGCATGTTGTACAGAGACTCAAATGTGTCCTGTGTAGGAGCAGCTACAAAACCTCGAGGGGTCAGAACGGGTGGAACCTCTTGAAATGCCGTGTCAACTGAACCTGTTTCAAGAGCAGCCTCCCATGGTGACTTCACTATCCGTATTCTGGGCTGCGTGAACCGTTCCTATAACCAGATCAGTATTCATTGTAATAGTAGTTTGCCAAATGAGTGCTCAACCCCAAAATGTGTCTTGTGTTTTTGGAAAGTAGAGATAGGAAGAGCCAATCCACATGCTTGGGCAGATGATTTTGTCTGGCTTCTTCCCCTCCCACAAGAAATTTAGGTGCAGTAATGGCAATATTTATGAAACATGACAAGTGTAACCAATTAGTGGCAGAGATTTGTTTCTTTTTTAGCAGTGCATCTCATGAGATATTTACATGGTATGTAATATGTCTTGATGAGCAGATTGTCTAGAAAATGTGGGAACCTCAACATCTCATAACCCTATGGGCCTCCACAGCCTGTTACAGGGATACCTTTACTTACTTTTATGTAATATGTCTCGAGAATTTCAATCCATGAGTGATATTATATGGAGATTTTTGAAAAGTGCAGCCTTTGGAAAATGTAATATGTGACTGTTTCTGACAACTGCAATCCATGGGGCTATTTTTGTTTTTTGTTTATGGCAGTGTTCACTCTAATTTAATCGTGCATATCCAGGATTGTGTGTATCACTGGTTTAACTGACTGTTTATATAAGGTGATTAAATAATATCATGATTTATGTGTGTGACTGCTGGCAGGGTAAGGATTGGTGAATGAATTTATTGACTACTTATACACACCTCTTGGAACTACAAGTAATTACAGAACCACAGCTAATCTCCACAATTCACAAATCACCACAGCAACCGCTAGGCCTTTTGCCAGCCTGCTGTGTCTTCATCAGCCATTTCCTGGCAGTGACTTTTAACAGTGGAGATTCTTCAGCTTCATGCACTCAGATTCTATCTTCTTCACAGCCTCCTGTGCAGAACTCAGCTCTCATCTAACTCTCTGTCAACTGACAAATAACTGGGTCACTGCAGTTTTCTTCAGGATAACTTCTTGGTGTGGACCACATAGGAAACACCCCCGTTTCCATTGTTGTAGCTGCTTAGAAATGGGTCGCATAACACCATTTCCAACAGTAACTCTATTGTTGTATACCATGCTGTTGCATAGCAATGGCTGTTGTCTCATTTGTTTCGAAGTCTTTGCCTAGCACCAGGCCTATGTGCCACAATATACTTACTCAGCCTAATGGAGATGGGTCTTAATGTCAGTTTATTTCAGTTTTACAGATACTTTTCAGTGCATCACTACATTCCAAGTGTCACAGTTTAGTTGTTATCACTCCCCTGAATAAACTCTAAAAATGTGAAAACCCAAAGAAGAAGAATCAATTTACCATTGTCCTATTTTTATCTCAAGATAAACCATAGAAGTGGTACTGTTGCTGTTGATGTAGTGATTTCAGTGATTATGTTGACATATTTTTTGTATAGAACAGTGTTTTTTTTTGTCCATTTTGAGACTACAGGATTACTTCAACAAAATTTTGCATTCTCCACTATTCCATTGGTATAAGGCATCTCATGCATAACTGTCGGGTACTCAAATCAAATTTCATCTGTAGGGCCAAGCATATTCTTTAAGTTTAATTTGTATGTGGAAGGTACTATATATTCAGATCCCAGCTGTGACTGTGGGTAGCATGACTGCTGGTTTACATGGGTTTCCTCAGTCCAGGAAAATCAGATGCAATCTGTCCCCAAGGACTAGAGTGACGTTTTATATGACTTAATTTTCTTTTAGTCTGCAGGGAAGGAGCTTGGGTGTCAAGAAGCCAGTGCAGGGACTTGCTTTACGGGTGCTACTCGTAACTCACTTTACAATGGACATTCCTTCCATCTGCTTGCAGCTGCCGATGGATGTCACACATTATCCTCGGAACACTGTTCTATTGTTCCTTGGGCTGGGAGCTCTGGTAAGTCGAATTTTAGTGGAATTCCATATGTACGTGTATTCATGTCTTCCCAACTTATCTGAATGTCCATTATTCTGTCTCGTGCTACAGGTACTCAGCTCCATGAGAAATGCACGTACTAGCATTTTAGGTTTCTTGTGTCTCTTTTGTATCTATGTGAATTTAAATACAATTTCTATGTGTGTATGTGGGCAGAGGGGCATGTGTCTTGACATGCCTGTTATATGAATATGATTGAAAGTTTATTAAAAATCCCTTGTAAATACTTTACTGTGCATGAGTTAGCAATAATTTCGAAGATGATATTACAGCTGCAGAATATGTAATACAAATTCAGTGTTGGTACTGAACAGATGCCATGCATGAAAAGAAGTCAATGCCAAAATGTCGAACTGAATTTAAAGACAATTTTGAAGTTGCTCAGTGTCACATATATCTTTGTCACTATGTTTATCAAGGAACCTGGAAGAAAGATGTGAGGAATATAATGACCTGGCCTGGTAGGTGATAGAATAGTGCATTTCTATCCTGGCAGGTATCTCTGCTGAAGTATCTGTGAAAGTGCCCATTTGTTTGTCCAACTGTACGGTCAGTGTGTGGCCTGTAGAGGGCCGACATGAGTCTAGCAAGCTGCAAATACGCTCCTGACCCAAGGGGAACTGTACTTCTATTCAGATGAGTGAGGCATTCAGCTGGAAGTAATGGGGGGGGGCAGCCCCTTTATATAATATGTTCTTATCAACATAAAATGAGCCTATGTTGCTAGTAGGTGGGGTACTATGTAACATAAAAAGCAAACTATAAAAGTGTGAGCATTTAAGAACATTTTCTCATGTAAAGTTTAATATACGTTTGGGCAGGGTAAATTTTATTCTGTTATGGCTCCATCTGTTTAGACGGTCATGAACCACCAGGCAGATGACGATGTGTAGTATATAAATCACACCACATTTGTCTCTAGCCCTTTCCATTCCAATGTATTAACCTCCAACATAATTACCGTAATGCTAAATGACTTCTTCATTGATGTAATTAACCTGTTTTAAAACTCTGATTCATGAGTGAAGCACAGCCTATATGAAGTGAGGTTTGCATGTCTTCTTCTGCCCCTTCCGGTGAGTGCTTATGGTGGTTACTTGCAATAGTTCATGACTGTTCATTTCTCATCTCTCTCAGTTCACATTAACAATCTTTTCATTTGACTATATAATTTCAGCATTGTCAGATAACCAATGCTACATGATCTGTGCATCTGAGCTACTAGTCACACAGTACCTGGATCTCGTTGAGTTTCTGCATGACCTCAACTCGTTTTGTAGACTCATTGAGATACGTTGGTATGGGGGGCAGCTTGCTCCCCTGCTGCTGCTGGGTCACGGTAGAGGATGTCGATATCAGCTCCGTTGTGGTGATGTTGCTGGAGGACGCTGACTTGACTGTTGTCTCATCAACCACCCATTTCTCGGACTTCTTCCGACGTTTTGCAAATAGCTCCGCGCCTGCATAAATTATTAATTTTCGTTAGAGAACCAATTCGTGACTGGAAAAGCTATATAATGATGAAATTCACTCATTAGTGTTACTACTTTTCTTTTGTTGGGTGAGCTGAGACTGAGCCCACTTGATATGTCATCCACTAATTGGATTGTTTTAGTGGTACTGGGTGATACATGAGTATGGAGCATTTTTGGTGGAATGAGAATTGGCAGGGGAAACCGCAGTGCCCAGAGGAAATCTACCCTAGTACCACTTCATCCACTGCAAATTGCACATGTCTTGACCTGGGATTGAACTTGGGCTGCCGTGGTGGGAAGCCAGCACCTAACCACCTGAGCTATGGTACAGCCTACACTGGGGTTATATTTTTGTGCTGCATAAATGTGTAGGGTGTATCAATGCTTTATGTAATGTAGCCTGTCACTCTTGTAGGTTGAGCTGGATTTATGAAATAAGTGACAGAATTTGATTTGAGCTTCTTGGAAATTTGGTGTTGTAGTGGATATACTCCGATCAAAGTGAAACATGTCCAGAAAAGTTAATCTGAATTTGTTGACTAGATGACAACATCTGTTGTGGTCTGCACATTAAGTATGCATGAAATTCGTAAACTGATCAAATTTCTTTAGCTTTGACACTCTAAACTTGTATTCAGAAAGTTCTAGTTTCAGACCTTGATCTGGTTTAGGCTATCATGATTGAGATTTTAGTGGCTTTCCGCAGTTCCTCCAGACGTATGCCAGGATAGTACCTTGATTAGGCAATGTACACTTCTTTCCAATTCATTTCTCACCAGTCATCTCACTCTTTGAGCCTATATAGTCAGAGTGACATTGAGGGAGGAACAGTGACTGAGGGTATTTGAGAACAGGGTGTTGAGGAGAATATTTGGCCTGAAGAAGGATGAAGTGACAGGAGGTTGGAGAAAACTGCATAATGAGGAGCTTCATAACTTGTACTCTTCTCCAAGTGTAATTAGAATGCTCAAGTCAAGGAGGATGAGGTGGGCAGGGCATGTAGCATGAAAGGGGGGAGAAGAGGAATGCATATAGGATATTGGTGGGAAAGCCAGAAGGAAAGAGACCGCTGGGAAGACGAAGGCATAGGTGGGTGGACAGTATTAAAATGGATCTTACAGAGACAGGATGGGATGTTATGGATTGGATTGATCTGGCTCAGGATAGGGACCAGTGGAGGGCTCTTGTGAACACGGTAATAAACCTTCAGGTTCCATAAAATGCTGGGAATATAGTCTGAGATACTGACAGCATTGTAAACTAATAAGGGCTCTGTATGAATCCTGCAGAATATATATGGACTGTCATGTTTTACCATATTTTGCAGTCTGGGATGGTACAGAGGTTAAGAACCATTGCAGGTCACATTTGAATGTGCTTACCTTTTCCTTTTGGGGCATTAAGATCGCGCACCAGGTCGAAAGCAACCTCAGGGCTCATGGAACCAGTTTCGATGTTGTAACCTTGACGTCTGAGGCTGTTGAGGTCCTGAACCTGCCCTCTGGGGTCCATAACGAGCTTCAGGATTGATCTGTTTTCATCATGGAATTTCATTTCCTGTCGGTGAAGAACAAATCCTATACTGGATGCAAGGCAGCTGGCAAAGTCAGGTTGCTAGAATACTAGTTGTCTGCTGAGCCAATGTTTGTATTACGTCCTATCTTATTATTATTATTATTATTATTATTATTATTATTATTATTATTATTATTACGAGTCTTGGGAACTAAAACAAGATCAGAAAACAAGAAGGTCCAGACTTCTTAAATTTGGATAAGGCTATTAAAGAATATACTCTACTGTGACCTTGCATAAATGTGTGCATAATTAAGACCTGGCTAGTCGTAAAGTAACTCTGACTTGGTTAACAGTTGACAGCCAGTGATAAAGAGTGAAAGCGAGTAGTAGACAGTTGGAACCATGGGTTAGATGAAAGACAGTCGTCAGCTGGTAAAGATGTGTGCATAGCCACAGAGGGCATTGTTGAGATCTGTTACCAGGCAACTACTGATAAAAACTTAGCACAGTGTGAAGACTTAGCATGTGCTGTAGTGATTTGTAAACCGTGTAGATTAGCAGTAGTATTACAGTTGTTTGAGTTGTTTGTAATCATGATATATAAAGGTTCAGTAAATCTAATTACAAATCCAAACCCTGTGTCTAGTCACTAACACATGACAATACTATAGGCAAGTATTATAAAGTTCAATGAGCTAGGCAAATTTTATACATTATTATTATTGTAAATGTAATTCTTCTGTGTGGTAAAGGCACAAATGAAATCCTAACAAAAATTGCTTGATATTTTTATTTACTTATATATTTACCACTTTTATTCGATTCATCTTAATTATTTTTTGATGATTTTTATGTGCAAGGTGTTATATTGCAATAAAATTCACTGGATACTGAAGGATTATGCCCGTTATCATAGAAGACGGAAGGTAGGGTGCTTGAAAGAGATAATACGGACTCTATTAGGGTAGTGCATCTAGTCTGTCACTGATACATTGAAAGCCAATTCAATATCACAATATCACCTGTGGGCCTATATTTGGATTCTTGAAAGACAGATTTTCGTCTCCTGGTGTTTCTGGGACATCTGTCTCGCTCTTGCCCCCATCTTCCAAGCCTTAAACAAAAGAGAAACGGTCATATATAAGATGGTGTATGGCTATCGAGATGAAACTGATATGCAGACCTGCTCCTGAAATTTGGTGGTGGTGATGTTGATGATGATGATGATGATGATGATATTGATATTGTGGCATATTTGCTGAAGGCAGAACTGTGAAGCCAGCAGAGACAACCGTTGACAGGATATGGCTCTGCGAACACGTCCATTGCTAGGCAACAGATTCGTAACACGCAGCAGTGGAGTAACTTGGAAGCGATGTTTTCTACGTGGTCCAAGTGATAGCTACAGGACGCAATAATAGAACTGTTGGATAGATGTTTTCTATGCGGTCCGTTCCGTGGCTATATAACAAGGAGCAGCTGAGATTATGAGTCTTAGCCCGTGTGGAGGCGGGGTCGAATACTTCCACCATGACCCTGCGAGTCGTAGGAGGCGACGAAAAGGAAAGTCTCAAATCTGAGACAGTAAAATATGGTCACGAGTCCCAAGGAACTCGGACCCGAGTAGGACTGCGCTGGCAAGGACCAGCAGCATATACTACAAAAGACAGATCTTGAGACGGCAGGCGGGTAAACATTTGTTCCATATCCATAGCGTGACGGCATAACAGTCAAAATCCAATGCAGTGTCCAGCCCGACCATTTCTGACACCAGTTGTCACGTGTATTTGTGACTATGAACGGGGTTTGGTCTGATTAATAGATTTATTGACCACTCACAGGTCGTGACTACAAATAACTATTACAGTATTGCTGATATCCATACTACGTCTTCTCAGTCTGCGTTCTCTAGTCGTTGCTTGGTAATAGGTCTCAACAATGGCTCTGCAAAGTTTTCACTACGCGTTACCTGATAACGAATCTTAGCTGGTTAACACTCAACTCAACTAATAAACTGACTGAGAGTTCTCACGTGTCCTCCCTTTATAACTTCGGGAAGAACCACTAGGTATCACCGCCTCCAACAGTTCCTCTGTTATTATATGCTTATCCGTTGTTGCGGAAAAGTGTTTAGCGAGTCGTTCTCTAGCAATGGACGTCTCTGCGGTGCTTTTCTGACTGCACACTTTCGACGTTCAGGCGTCGTGTCACAATATACTACATTCAGGGCTTTCTGGACGCGTTCAAGGGACATAATACATTTTGTGCGGTGTATTTTACACGTATTACACATACTTTTCTGCTGCAATGAGGAACCAAGTTCTATCCCAGAGATGGGAACCGTGTAAGTTGTGTAGATTTAGCTATATCGTCACTCTTGCCATTCTCCACAGTGTTCCGTGGGCTGCCTCCGCCATGTTTATTTTGGTTTTAAGGCTGTAACACATCAGCAGCAAGTGTTTCTCTATTCAGATGAGTTCAACCGTTTATTTGTGTACTTACACGCGTCTGATGTAAGGTTTATGGAGGCGGTGGATGAGAGTTATTTATCATCGTCACGGTTACTGTTGCGCTCTTCTCCTGTAAGGACATCTCTTTGATTTTCCTTCTCTTATATAATTCAGATTTTTTTTTAATTGTGATAGTGCTAATGCTCTTCTAATTTGTTTTCTGTGTAAGTAGCTTCTTATTGTTAATTTCATAGGTTGTATAGTTCTCTTCTTATGTTTACATTTATTTTATAGCAGTTCCTGCTGCTGATATTAACAAGATTTAATAATTTAGGAAGTATACGCGTATAACTGTATATTGAGGAGCTTCATAACTTGTACTCTTCTCCGAGTATAATTAGAATGATCAGGTTAAGGAGGATGAGATGGACAGGACATGTAGCACGAATGGGGGGGAAGAGGAATACATATAGGATATTAGTGGGAAAGCCAGATGGAAAGAGACCACTGGGAAAAACAAGGCGTAGGTGGGTGGGCAATATTAAAATGGATCTTAGAGAAATAGGATGGGATGCTATGGACTGGATTTATCTGGCTCAGGATAGGGACCAGTGGAGGGTTCTTGTGAACACTATAATGAACCTTCGGGTTCCAGAAAATGCTAGGAAGCTCTTGAGTAAGCTACACAATTGGCGGTTTCTCAAGAAAGGCTCAGCTCCATAAGTGAGTGAGTTCCTAAGAAGATTTGATAATTTAGGGAGTTACGCTTAGCGCATTACATTTATGTGGTGTCGCCCTCCTTTGGTTAGTTATTTCGAAAACGGTAAGGCTTGCGGAAAAGTACAGTGGACGTAAAATACGTTTTGTGTTTTTTATTCGAAACATTCTTCGCGTCTATGAATATGTAAGAAGTTATGCTTGAAATGCACACAGAAGAAAAAAGGTAAAGCTATCCCTCTAACATGCCGTGGAGGTCCATACGGTTGTGAGACGTCGATGCTTCCACATCTTCTAGATAATCGGCTCACAGATGACGGTGAGGTTGTCAGTCTTACGCGCCGGCCGTCCTTTACCCCCTAGGAATATTCCTGGTACTCGTTTCTGTCAGAGGCTGAGTCGACCCCAGGGCCATAGTGCCCCCATAATGCGGCTGGAAGGCTTAGGTAAATTGAGAAAATCCAGTGACCTCATTGGGAATCGAACCCGCGACCTTCCGGCTTGTAGCATAGTGCCTCAACCAACTATACTACCGATGTGCATTGAAACGTATTCGTATATAAGGTATCTAGTGAACGCGGAGGAAAGTCTCATCTGGAATGCTTTTCTTCCGGTTCATTCTGATCAGAGTCTAAGTTTCAAACCAGTGGATCTACAGGGCCGACAGTACACAGATATAAATATTATTTCATGCATTTTGTTCGTGTTCTTTCCCCCATTATACCCTGTTTCTAAGGTATGACATACTCATATTTAGGATATTATATTAAGTCACTCTTGTTTTACGTCTCTTTCCCCCTTGTAAGAGTAAGCATGTCCTAGATGCGTAAATTGTGTCTCCTTTCGTGATTATTAGGTTTCTCTGAAACGCTTTTCGACCGAATATCAGAGCGGGCTGTATTATTGTCTCTTGACGGGAATTCTGCAAGTAACCAGTTCTGAATCCTTGCTGTCCTGGTTTTCATGATTTTACTCAATATCTCGAAATAGGTACATAAACTCCGTGGTTTTAGTCCGCAAGCGAACTATAGCGACTGAGCAACCGCCGGATGTCGGCGAAGTTAATGTTAACACTAGCGGATAGAGGGTGTCGCGTGGTCAGCGCAACGAATCCCCACGGCCGTTAATTTCTGTTTTCTAGACCGGAGCCACTATTTCCTTGAAATAGCTCCTCAATTATCCTCACGAGGCTGAGTGGACCCCTTTCCATACCCACTACTTCTCCGAAAATATGGTAGCGCCGGGAATTGAACCCGGACCTCTGGATCTGTAACCAGAAACTCTGACCACTAGACCACAGAGACGGTCCCAAATAGGTACAGGAGTACTTTATTAAATTTCCCAACGCATGCTTTCTGTCACTTTCATTCAAAATCATCTTGCCATAGCTCATTTGACACTACGTAATCTCAGTTGTTGATACAGCGACGTACAATACTCAAGTACAAAAGTGCAGAGACTGAATGAAAGTTAACCTCCAGAAACTGCGAGAAAACACGAAATGTCTCATACACGCTTGCCTCAAGTATCACACACCGATAATTGTAAATTCTAAAAGGAGGTAATAAACATTACATACAAATACTTGTAAAGGTAAGAGGTGAAGTTGGCCCTGTGCTTAACTAATTAAGTACTACGTCATGAAGGCGTATGGGGAAGTGGATGTATAGATCCACATTTTCTTGACCTCAGCACAAGTTGGAGGTGAATATTCAGCTTCTGCCCATTTACCCCCGGTACCCATTGGATAGGAGGCTGGGTGGGCCCTATAGCCGGTCTGGACGACGTGGAGAAGAGAAATGTCTTTCCCCTACCGGGACTGCCAACTCCCACCCCTCGGGAGTCCATCCCGTAGCCAGTCGCAATACCGGCTACGTTTACCCGGCTCTCCAAAATGAACCAAGTATGAGGTATGTTTATTACATGTAGTCTGAACAAGCAATTGTAAGGTGACACGCAAACGCGAAGAACAAATGCTTCCTCTATATACCAATTGTTACTCCATAGACCTGAGTTCTTCTTGAGAAGCTAGCGATACTTGCTGAATTACTGGAGAAATTTCCATCATTTCATGAAACCCGAAGGTCAATTACAGCGTTAACAATTGGCACCTCACATGAGCCAGATAAACCTAATGTATATCTTCTCATCCCATTTCTTTTAATTGTAATTTTGTCCTCCCATCTAGAGGGAAACAGTTCTTTGCAATTTACACAACTCGGCGAACCAATGTTGAACATCTTTACATTTTCTTAACATTTGTATTGCCATCACAATTTTAGGAAGCCAAAGATTTGAATTGTATGGTAATAATGATACAGAACTATGCTCAGTATAAACGTGGGGCCCAGAAGTCCTTGGGTGCTCTAAGACAAAGCATAAACAAGAGGTTCCGGGAAGAATTTATGACGCTCTAAATGCTTCTGTCTGTATAAAAAAATGAACGGTAGTTGTAAATGAAGACTTGTGCAGTTTAGTGATCTGTAATTGTAGAAAAGTCCCCGCGATTTTGCCTACTACCTGAACATTTTAAGTTTTAATTTACTGTCAAGTTTATAAATTTGACTTTCAAGAAGAGTGGAAAGTTGTGCTGCAAGCCTTCAGCTTCTACATTTGTCATTTGTATCCAGTTTTGACAGATGCTGTATTTGGTTTCATGTATCCGCGGTTTTTAATTTGTGTACACGCGGAAAGAAATCGGCAGCATGAAGGTGATGGCAACCGAAACCAGTTTCTGGATTCTAGATTAGACCTACCACTTCGGTACGTCTTTTCATGACAATTTGAATATTTTATGTTTAACGTTATTACTTTTTCCTGTATCTAATTAAAGAACAGGCAACTCAGGTAACAACAGACGTTGGTTGCCTAATTCCCAGTTACCCATAAGATCTCGATCGTACTATGGTGTTTTTCAGGCATATAATCCTCGCGGACCGCCTCTGTG